AGGATCAAGTCATAATTTCTAAGAGATCTCTTAAATGCCATGCAAGTTTTCACAGGACTTAGACTTCAGGCTGGCAAGAATCTCATCAAGCAGTTATGTTTCTTCTCTCCAAATTGGCACAAATTATTTTCACTGTAACCCTTTTTCAGTGATTTGTATCTGTAAACCACATCAGATCATTTTATTTCTGAGAGAGCCACAGTATTATTAAATCAATCCGTGGACATTATTTGGTTTCAGATTACTTATTTTGAGGGGGTCATTCATTCCATAAACCAATTGCCTACTACTGAGTGCCTATTATGTGCCAGACAAAAAAGGACATAAAAATATACAGATAGCCGAAGCCGGTTTGGCTCAGTGGATAGAGCATCGGCCTGGGGACTGAAGGGTCCCAGGTTCGATTCTGGTCAAGGGCATGTACCTTGGTTGCGGGCATATCCCCAGTAGGGGATGTGCAAGAGGCAACTGATCGATGATTCTCTCTCATCGATGTTTCTAACTCTCTATCCTTCTCTCTTCCTCTCTGTAAAAAAAAAAAAAAAAAAAAAAAATCAATAAAATATATATTTAAAAAAAAAAATATATATATATATATATATATACATACACACACACACAGATAGTTCCAACATAAAAAGCTCAGTCTCTTATTATGCATACAAACCAATAACTTTCAACCATTAACCCTGGTCCATTTGGCTGTAAGCCACTCTGCCCTTCAAGAGCCCTTTTCCTTTCAATTACTACTGTGGGCGTTTAAACGCCTCAGTGCCCCAAAGATGGAGCTTCAAATCTTAGTACTAGTATGTTTTCCTGCCCAACATTTAGCCAATAGGAGGCATAAATCAGTGAGATTTAAAAGCCACTTCTGATCTAGCTTTGTGTTTAACAAGATGGCCCAAAGATCCAGAGTCTTATCTGATTTACTGTGGTTCATCCATCTGAAGGCAGCTACTCCGTTTCCCCGAAAATAAGACAGTGTCTTATATTAATTTTTGCTCCCAAAGATGCTCTAAGTCTTATTTTCAGGGGATGTCTTATTTTTCCATGAAGAAGAATACGGTACACATTTATTGTTAAATGAAAATAAAGGAAATTTATTACCTGTATACGGTATGGTAGTACGGTAGTTGTCAACACAAACCAGACAAACTGAATCCTACAGTATCAAGAATTTACCGGCATATAAGACGACCCCCTAATTTTACAGTTAAAACATAGGTTTAGGCCTATATTCGCTGTATAAGACTACCCCCCACTTCAGAGGCAACACCAGTTCTTTTTTTAATAGACCGCCTCTCTGACTCTGGCCAATCTGCAAGCTACACTGTGTTCTAGTAAAAAGCCTGCTCAGATTGGCCAGAGTCAGAGAGGTGGTCTATTAAAAAAAGAACTGGTGTTGCCTCTGAAGTGGGGGGTAGTCTTATACAGCGTATATAGGCCTAAACCTATGTTTTAACGGTAAAATTAGGGGGTCGTCTTATGTGCCGGAAAATACAGTGCTCAGTTATTCAATGACAATCATGTCATCATCTTCTGGAACATCATCATAACAATCCAATTCCTGAATTTCCTGGTGAATTTCTTGTGACTCCATTTCTTTCAGAATCAGTGGACCAAATCTCTCATGTTTAGCAATAGCGACCAGTTTACGGTAAATTAATTTTCATTCTGAGACAGAGCCTGTGGGAGCCTTATTTTTGGGAGGATGCCTTATATTTCACTCAGAAGGAAACCTGTAAGTAGGTCTTATTTTCGGAGGATGTTTTATTTTCGGGGAAACACGGTATAAGGAGAGGGCATTAATGAAAGAGAACTCTGGGATCTCTGGCCAGGCTAGAATGAAAGCAAGGGGTCTGGACAGGCACCTGAAGATCATCCATGCTCTAACCTGTTGGAAGCCCACAAAGTTCTCTCAGAACATAAAATAAAAACAGCAATATCTTTATTTTTAATAACTAATTAGAGCAGATTCTTATGGGCCTTAATGAGTAACTTACTCTTTTTATCCCATTCCAATTGTTTCTACTTTTTTTTTTTTAGCTAATGCTTATCAAACTGCTGAATAATACCACTTATTATTCAGATATTTGGGTAAAAAATACACAGACCAAAGAACAGTATAGATCACTTTGTATTTATTAGATGTTTAACTGAATTATTTCAAATTACAGAATTCAACTCCAAGACAAGGCAATTAATGGTTACTAAGATGTTATTCCGTTGCATTTTTCCCTCCTAAAATTTTAACACAGCAAAACACCTTAAAGACATATGAATAGGTTCAGTGCACTTTAGTGGCTCACTATTATGAGACAAAGACCACATTTATCCATAAAAATTAAGACAAATAGCTCAATATTTTTAAATATTATTGACATGAAATAAAATAAAGGAAAAAATAAAATACTGCATTTTTACCACAACTATTTTGGTAGATGACAGAATATTGTTTAAAACAATGCTCCTCTGCAGAGCATAGGTTGTGGTTAGCACGCTTGGCACTTAAGCACTTGGTACCCACTCAGCTCCCATCTGCAGTTTTTCAGAAGGATCCTTACTCAGACCCACATCCCCTGAGCCTGCTCTGCCCTTCTCCGCAGGGACTATTCTGGTGGGAGCTTAATCCTTCCACCTGCTCTTAAGACATTGCTGTCTTCCCTTCATTCCCTCCAGATGCACACTTGCTGCGACCTGCATTCTCAGCAAAGATGCCTGGCACAAAATTCACACAGGTGAGCAACCCCGCCCCTCGCTTTTATTCCAGATGATGCCCCTTCACTTGACTAAATTACAACTATATGGTGAGGAGATGAACTTACAACAGCAATCATTCTCCTTACTTTGTAGTCATATCTATAATATAAAAAAAAACTTAGTGATGTCTGATTTAGAACTTAAAACACTGAATTAGTTTAGACAGAAAATATAGTGCTCTGAAGTTTTTTAAAATCTACTCTTTTCTACATTGTTTTTAAAACCATAAAAATATAAAAATTGTAAACATTCTACTAAACATTTCAGTAGAAATCTTGTAACCCTACTTTTTATTTAGTGGGTTCAGAAAGAACAAAATAACACCACGCTCCCTTTGGAAAACCCAAAATCGCGTTCCCAGCCCTCACCTACCACCGCACGCCTCTCAGCACTAGACAATCTATAGGCCAAGCATGTCCCTCATGACAACTGCTGCTGCACTCTTGTAACAAAGCAGCAGCTCAGCTGTCCTCAGGTTTGCTGGGCACCTTACATTCACTGCTCTGCACTCAACCCAGCCTCAGTGACCATGCAAACACATGGAAGTAAGGGCACAAAAATCGGGGCATCTCCTGTCCCACAAACTGCATCCCTCTGCAAAGTGAGAGGGTACTTTCTATCTCTTTGTCAGAGCAACAGCAGAATCAGGTGGGGGTGCTGCTGACAGAGGCAGGAATAAAGAGGAAGCTGATGATGCAGCCACCAGTGTCCACCACACCTCCACAGAGATGTTCCCTTCACCGTGACACTGCTAGGAGCTTGAGGATGAATCTCATCTTCTATTTAAAAGGAGAAACCTACACCAGAAATTCCCGTCACTTTTCATTGCTCTTATAACAAGATTTTGCTGTGTTTTTAAAAGCAAGAAAGTAACAAGGTATGCCATTTTTTAAAATTAATAACTTAAAACTTAATTTTCAAAAAATACTGTTTTGCTTTTAGGAAGGAATATGCTAGACACAAATAACTAATGAAATCTATCAGCTCTGGGAAATCCCCTTAGCATCTTTCAGATCAGCTATGTTTAATGAGATAAACTAAAACCAGAATTCCACGCCTGGGCGAAAAACAGTACCAAGTGACCAGAGCACTAGCCTCAGTAACTTAAAACTATATTACCTGAATAGTCTCCATGGTGAAGTGTCAGAAAGAGAAATAATAAATATCTCCACAGCACCATAAGATTTTATAAAATATTATTTCTGTTTTTAACCTTAATGTACAATCTCAAGATTCTGGTCCATATTAGACTGATAATAGTTCTTACAGAGTCCACAAAGGCACAACTATGACATGAAAATTATGTATTTTACTGAAGATCTGTATGATATACTTAGTCACTGTTTCGGTTGCATCCACTGAGTACTAGTGGATTTAAAGGCCAGGAAAATGGTTTTACCATTTATACTCTAATCACAAATTTCAACTTGCTAAAAGAACCAAAGTGGTAACTAACTAAAAGATGTGCCATAACTAAAAAGTCCTTTTATATGTTTGCTGTAGTACTGTGTGCTCTTATGGGTTTTGTTTCTCTATGATAATATTTTTGTAAATGGCTCTGAGTTTTTAACATAAAAATACAGTGATTCATTTTTAATATTAAAAATAAACACAAATGGAAAACAAACTTTGTAGCCAAATTATCTCCAATTATGTATAGCAAGTTATCGATAACTGTATCAGAGATTGGATCCCCAATACCTAGCATGCTCATGGATCTTTTGAACTGTGTGCTGTGCCAACTTTGTTCAACACTGATCTAAGCAAAACATAATTGAAAGTAATGACTTGCCTACCAAAAAGCACACACTGCATTCCAAAACCTGATGTGAATCAGATCTGGGGTTATCAATTCCATGTCTCCCCACATTAATGCAGAACTCAAACTTGACTTGATTACAAATCGACTAGCACTAGAGTAAATTTGCTATAAAATTACTTATAACAAAATAAATATTTTCAGTCCCTCTACACTAAGTGATATATAAAGCATTAGCAGTTTATAACATTAGCTCGGGTCACTCTTTAGGACCCAAACACACTGTACAATCCTGAGTAAAAGGTTAAGAATACAGTTTCTTGGGGATCTTTCTTGATCAGGAATCATAAAGGAAACACATAATACCACAATTTGCAATTATCCCCACTTTCATTAGAAGTACCATGAATTATTTACTTTGGTAAATAAGTTTATGTATGTAAACCATTTGTTTCGATGGAATAAAACATAAGAGCTTCTGCTAGGATCCCTCCATCACCTTCTGACACTGATACAATAAATAGTCAGGAAGAGTAGAGCAGGAGGATCTAAACCATAGGACCAATACGTCACCATGAACTCGGAAATGCAGCAAACAGGGAATGGATGGGAGCAGCTGACAGGCCAACAGCCCTTCACTGCCTACAAACAACAAAAATTAAAAATTCTTTAATACAAAGGAACTCCAGTAGACATTTCTACAAAGAAGATACACAATGGCCAATAAACACATGAAAAGATATTCAACATCACTGCTCATTAAGGAAATGCTAATCAAACCCACAATGAAATACCACTTACCACTTCACACCCATGAAGATGGCAATTATCACAATAAATAAATACAAGGGTTAGTGAGGACCTGGAGAAATTTGAACCCTTGTACATTGCTGATGGAAATGGAAATGATGCCACTGTTGTGAAAAACAATATGATAGCCTGGCTGGTGTGGTTCAGTAGTTGAGCATTGACCCATGAACCAGGTTACTGGTTCAATTCCCAGTCAAGACACATGCCCGAGTTGCAGATGCAATCCCCAGTAAGGGGTGTGCAGGAAGCAACAGATTGATATTTCTCTCTCATCAATGTTTCTCTCTCTCTCTCTCCCTTCATTTCTCTCTCTAAAATCAACAAAAAGCATTTTAAAAAATAATAAATACTATTTTTCCAAAAATTACATATAGAATTAGCATATGATCCAGCAATTCTACTTCTGGGACTCGAACACTGATATCTGTACACCTCTATTCACAGCAGCATTATTCAGAGTAGTCAAAAAGTGGAAGCAACTCAAGTGTTTGACAGATGAATGGATAAACAAAATGTGATATATTCATACAATGGAAAAGTATTCATTAGGAAAGTTTGACACATGCCACAACAAGGATGAACCTTGAAGACATTATGTTATGTGAAATAAGCCAATCACAAAAGGGCAACTATTGTATGATTCCACTTCTATGAGATATCTAAAATTGTAAAATTCATAGAGATAGAAAATAGGATGGTAGGTGTCAGGGACTGGAGAGGGAGATGATGGAAGCTATTGTTTAATGGGTACAGTTTTAGTGAGGGGAGAAGGAAAAGCTCAGGAGATGATGGTGACAATAGTTACGTAACAATATGAATATACTAGGTGTACCAGTTAATAATGCAGATTTTTTTTCAATAGATGGGATTACACATATATTGATATATATGCGATTTGATATATATGCTATTTTATTGCATTGACAGCAAGCTTCAAAACTTCATGTCAAATTTGCTGAAGGTGTTAACATCATAGATATTTTTACGCTTAAAAATATCAAATTAAGTGCCAAAGAAAAGAGCATTTGCAGGAAGTTTTAATTCATTATTTTATTTTGAAGGAAAAGTTACTGTATACTTTGGGAAGCTTATTGTGAACAAGCTCCATCTCAGTATACTTGTGAAGACTGGTTTATATACTTTAAAAAGTGGATTTATTTTGAGAATCCCAAATGCACAAAATCATGGGTTGATCCAGGTCAACCATCAACATCGACTGCAAGGCCAAATCGCTTCAGAAAGAAGACAATGCTCTGCGTTTGGTGGGGTTAAGAGGGTGTGGTGTATTATGAGCTTCTAAAACCAGATGAACACATTAATATTAATCACTACCGACAACAAATAATGAATCTGAACCATGCTTTGATTGTGAAATGACCAGAAAGGGCCAGAAGACATGGCAAAGTAATTTTGCTTCATGACAAAGCACCATCACATACCTCGAAACCAATTAAAGACACTATAAAAAATCTTGCCTGGGAAGTATTAACCCACATCCCATATTCACCAGACCTTACTCCTTCAGATTACCACTTGTCCCAATCGGTGGGTGTGCACTTTCTGAGCAGCACTTTAAAACAAACGAAGTGCAAAATTTGGTCTCTGAATGGTTTGCCTCAAAACAGAAAAGTTCTATTGGGATGGTATCCACAAATTACTTGAAAGATGGGGAAATGTGTAGCTAGCGATGGACATTACTTTGAATAAGCACTTTTGACCTTTTTCTTGAAATTACCATGTTTTCTTTAATAACAAAATCCGCCATTATTAACCAATATACCTACTATTTAAAGCCACTACACTGTACACTTAAAAATGGTTTAAAGTTGCAAATTTTGTTATGTGTATTTTACCACAAAAATTCTTTAATAAAATCTGAAGAACACACTCCTCTAAAAGATACTAATAACATGAAATATGGCTCTAAGAAATCTGATACTTATAAGAGCTGATCTGTGTTCTGATTGTGAGAAAGCCTCATAAACACAGGATTGCCTTTTTGTAACTCTACGAACCTATAATGTCAACAACATGAAGTCTCAGTTTCTGTTGCAGTGTCTTCAGGGCAGAAGGCAGAGCAGCTTGAGATTCTGACATTTTTACATTTTGCTTCACATCATTTGCGAAGGATAACCAGAGTTTGCCAAAGTCTTCAGTTGAGATTTTTAATGGTCTGAAAATAATGTTTAAAATTAGATTGATGTCCAAAAGAATGAAATGATTCTAAACAAAAAAACATACATTTTAAATGATTCCTGAGAATAAAACAATTACTTTAAATCTGGGTCCCACAAAAAAAAAAAAAAATCATGTTTTTAAACTAAAAACATGATTGGAATGCTAACTATTTTTTCATCCTCCAACCTGAAGAAAGCAAGAAATGTTATTAAAGTGCAAATGTTTTTTCAATAAGTCACCTAATTCTTTTTCTGAGTATTAGTGATTTCAGTAAAATGTTACCAAGTAATTTCATGAATCAAATATAAAAAAAACTTTTCTTTCATATACACTCTGGGTTGGGGGATAAGAAGGCACTCTAATAAAGTCATATACAGGAGTGCAAATATAAAGACCCAGTACCTTAAGTAAATTAAACCAAGAGAAAAGATTTTAGCAAATTACATATTTTTAAAATGATCCATGAGACTGAAGATCAAATAGCTAATACTGTGGTATATTGAGGTGGAATTATAGAGGACTTTTACATTCTACTTATGTTTTTCTACAGCATTTAAATTTTATATGTATATATTTATAATTAGGAAAATATTTTTAAAGACAGAGGATTTTATTAATATACACAAAAGAATTGTTATATATATTGTGCTTCTTTGGGTTATGAATGCTCACCCTGGGAGTCACCTCACAGTCAAAGAATGTAAGTTCTTATATAGCAACATGAGTATAAATACTGACAGATAAATAGACATGTTCATACTAAAAGACTTCAAAGAGTAGGCAAAAACTGTAGTTTAACACAACTGGAGTGTGGAAAGTTTAAAAGTTTTACAGACAATCCCAGGTACATTGCATTCTTAGTTCAAGCAGCCTTCATTTAAAAAAATGTTTGAATGCAGCCCTGGCTGGTTTGCTTAATGGTGAGAGCATCAGCCCATGGACTGAAGGGTCCCGGGTTCAATTCCTGGTCAAGGCAATGTACTTCAGTTGCAGGCACATCCCTGCTCCCGTTTGGGGCACGTGCAGGAGGCAATCAATGTGTCTCTCTCACGTTGATGTCTAGGTCTCTCTCTTTTTTTCTCTCTCCCTTCCACCCTTTCTAAAAGTCAATGGAAAAAATATTTTCAGGTGAGGATTAAAAAATAAATAAAATAATGTTTGAATACAGTATAATATATTCGTAACACTAAATGAGAGAAAAGTTAGGCAGTTGTTTTCAATTATTTTGGTAACTGAATGGTGCTACATAATGCTAAATACTAATATAATCATCTATAATATATTAATAAAAGGATAATATGCTAATTAGGGCAGGTGTCTTCTGGACATCCTTCCGGACAAAGCCGCAGCGGCTGCGAAGGGCCGGGCTCAGCCGGCAGTGGCAGCAGCAGCAGGGTAATGGGGGCAGCGCCTTCCCCTGATCTGCCAAGTCACCTCCCGCAGAGGGAGGTCAGACTGCAGCTTGGGCCAGGGGACAGGGCAGAGGTGGTTAGGGGTGATCAGGCCAGCAGGGGAGAAAGTTAGGGTCGATCAGGCCAGCAGGTGGACAAGTTAGGGTCAATCAGGCCAGCAGGGGGGCAAGTTAAGGTCAATCAGGCCAGCAGAGAGGTTAGAGGCAATCAGGCAGGTAGGCAGAGGGATTTGGGCCATCAGGCAGGAGAGCAATTAGGAGCCAGTGGTCCCAGATTACAAGAGGGATGTCCAACTGCCAATTTATGGGATCAGGACTAAACTGGCAGTTGGATATCCCCTGAGGAATCCCAGATTGAAGAGGGTGCAGAGCAGGCTGAGGGACACCCCCTGCCCTAAGGACATGATTTCAAGCACCGGGCCACTAGTGTCTAACAAAGAATAATAACTTTGCTGAATAATTTTCTTGCAGATCTCTAAAGCTTAATAAAGAGAATCAAATAAATGAAATACAATTGAGAAATTTGAAAAACTTAAAGAAAACCCATGTGGAATCTTTAAAGTTATTTCAGTTTAAACATTACTTTAATACTAGTTTCTCTCAGAAGTTATCCAGAATCACCAACCAACCCCAACCTAAATCAGGTCCCATAATGTAATTGGTCACTGTACCATTTATTTCCTCTAAAATTCACAATTACATATGTGTTGATATGATTGTTCAATGTCTCCTCCCTAGGCTGGACAGTAGAGGCTGTGTCTAGTTTTGAATTGTTATACTCCCTAGCACACCTAGCATAGTACTTCTGTCCAGAAAATAGGCCCAATGAACATTTGCTGAATGACTGAATAACCCGAGTTAACATTCCAGAAAATACTTACCTAATGAAATCTAACAGGGATAAGTTTACTGAAAATTCTAACTGAACAGCATGAGTGTTCATTACTTGATAATTTATAAAACCAGAAAGATTCCCTTCTGTAAAAGGCTTTTCCATCTGCACACGATATTGAAAGTTTTTTGTGTTCTCTGCTTCTGTTATAGGCAAGCAGCATCCAGGTTGCTCAGTGATCTGTAGATAAAAGTGATACAAGTATTGAAGAAGAGATCAATATAGACTAACGTATGAATACCAAATTTCTATTTAATTTAAGTAAAGTACATTACTGTGAGATGTTAATAACTACGTACATTATGAAGATGAATAACAACTTCACTTGAGAAAAAATTCACTAGCACAGATAATCAAGAATAGTGCAGAGAAAAATAAATATGTAACAAATGTCATTACAAGAAAGCCTCTGTATAATTTAAGAACCAAAAAATATGTACCGTATTAAACTCTAGTCTTGTGGTACTCAATCCTGGCTAGCACCAGATCTTTAAAGCTAGGAGAGTTAAAAGATATATACAGGTGCCTTCCCTTTCCACTCTCCACCCTTACTCAACTTCTGGTGGTAGAACACAGGCAACTGAATTGGGTTTGGTTTGGTTTTGCCCTAAGTTCCACAGGTGATTCTTATGCAAATCTAGAACTTCTGCCCTGGTCAGGCCCACGTAATACCCCATTCAACACAATCTAGCTCTCAGAAGAAATTAGGTCAGTTTTGTGGAATACTGATCTACTGGTCAAATATTATAACTCCACCAAGAACAGCCACACAATAACACAAATAGCATTATTTCCAGAAATCACCATGGCAGTATCTTGGAGCCAGGCAAGAAACTGAAAGCCTGATACTCTATAATGCAAAGGAACTATTAATATTTTCACTTTAAATGCCAGGAAACTACGGCACAAAGCAGGCATATAACTTGACCATGGAACACAGCTAATAAGCAGCAGAAGCAAGATTCAAAGATAAGCAGTCTGAGTCAAGAGTCTACCAAGGTACATGCCCTTGACCGGAATTGAACCCGGGACCTTTCAGTCCCCAAGCCGACACTCTATCCACTGAGCCAAACCGGTTTTGGCTGAGTCAAGAGTCTATATTCATAACTGCTGTGCTCTATCAATACTCATTTTATATAGGGTGGAGCAAAAAGTAAGTTTACAGTTGTTCACATGGAAAATAATGCAATAATTAATAATACAAGAATAAACTCTGTGTTTCACATACTCACAATTGTAAACCTACTTTTGCCCACCCCTGTATTTGTGGCCTTCTCCAATACAACCTTTATTATGTTCCCTTGAATCTTTTGAATAATTCATCCCTACACAAATTAATTAGATAATCTGTCATATCTCGTATGTTTTTTTTGCTGAAGAGGAAGGAAGAATGTGAAAAAAAATGCATAAACCATCAGAAGAGCCAACAGCAGAAACATTAGGCAAACACTAAGGCAAGAAATAACAAACCATGCATTGTCATACCTTGAAATTTTCTGCAGGAGCAATTTCTAAGTTAACACCTTCCAATTCCAAACCACTCTTATTAGAAACTAACCACACCATCAATAAACAATCATCTTTCCAAATTTTGTAAGAAGACAATGACATGGTGTCATTATTGCAGACTTCCATAAGATCTGAATGCATGTGTTCAGTAGTTTCTTCCAACAAAGAAGCTAAGGAGATTTCATTGGCAAGTGAGGCTGTGGTGGAATGAGGAGGGTGAAAAACTTCCATGTTGTCATCAGCAAACAAAGAAGGTGTAGACGGTCTGCAATTTGAGAGTTTCTCAACCAAGGGCAGGTCTGTGAGTGACTCAGAATCCAAAAGTTCTGCACTGAGAGTAAAATTATTTAATTCTTTGTCTCTTCTATCCTGCAAATTATCCAAATAATAATCTTCTTCATAAGTCACATTTGTAGGAGAACTAAAGGAAGAACGGGTCATATTATGAGCATTGGCTGTTTCTCCACTTTTGGTTTCTTTGACTTTTGATTTCCTTCTGAACTTGTGAGAGGTGGTATCTGCTTTTCCTAGCTGTGAAAATGAAACATAACAATATAAAAAGAAATCATCCTTCTAGTCATTAGTTTTAAATATTTTTCTTAATTTCAAATGAGCAATTTAATAGCTTGCTAAAGTTCTATCTATAAAGCACAGATTTAAAAAGACATCAGAGAAAAATAAAATCTTAAGCCCTGAAATTCTGACAGCTATATAACATTGAACTACTAACTAAATTTTATTTCTCATTTAATAACACATAAAATCAGCCCAGCCATGGCTAGATGTTTGAGCATCAACCATGAAACAGGACATCACGGTTTCATTCCCAGTGAGGGCACATGCCAGGTTGTGGGTTCAATCCCAGCAGGGGGTGTGCAGGGAGCAGCTGATCAATGATCTCTGTCATCATTGATGTTTCTCTCTCTCCCTCTCCCCTCCTCTCTGAAATCAATAAAAATATATTTTAAAATAAAAATAAATAACACACAAAATAAAAGAAATGTTAAAAAGCTCAATGTAAACAATTCTAAAAACTTGCTAGATTTCAGAATAATAGAGTACAGAATTGCACAAATTAAAAAAAAAGTAAGAAACCCAGCTATTTTTTTGTTCTTCAGTTTCCTTATAGAGTTCTCCTCAAATATAGGGCTGGCTAAAACTCTGATTCAGTAATATACAATAATCATGATTTCATGGTCTATGAGTCAATAAACAGGAAAGAAAAAGTGGTTTTACCTCAAGAATCAACCGGCAATGGCTGACTGGAACACAGAACAGGAAAGAATTTTTTAAGTGACTAGTGATGTTTGCTATGAATTTGATAGATGGGAACAGTAAGTTTGCCATCCTTGAGCAAACCCTCCTGAGGAATGGCCTGCAAATCTATGTAAGAAGAAATGACTAAATATTCCCTTGCCTCTCAAAGTCCTACCTAAAATCAGTAGAACAGACTGGCACTCACTACTCTAAGTCTAAATCCATGCCTACACCTTCCTGGGGGCTGTAACACCACTTGGCCACCCTTCACATGATTCTAGTTAACTAGAATTCTGGTTCCATGTCCATGCTCTCTCATCTTTCAAGTCCCAACATCTCTTCTAATTCTCAAAGGTAAGAGATGAGTCCGTCTCCTCCCTTTCAATTCAGAATTCATCAAACAAAAACTAACACTGTTTCAACATAAAAACAAGTGGGAGTGGGTGGGTGAAGGATTTTCAGTCCAGTAGCCATGGGACTTGAATTAGACATACAGTAGTCCCCTTTATCTATGATTTTGCTTTCTATGGTTTCGATTACCTATAGTCAATACCAGTCCAAAAATATTAAATGGAAATTTTCAGAAATAAACAATGCACTTATTTTTATATGTATTATCTAAAAATTGCACATCATTCATAGTGCGATAAAACCTCTCACTGTCCCGCTACATATATCCCAGGACGTGAATCATTCCTTGGTCTAGCATATCCAGGCTGTATATGACACCTACCCATTAGTCACTTAGCTCTCTGGGTTATCAGATCAACTGTCTCAGCATTGCAGTACTTGTAATTCATGTGCCCATATTTTACTTAATAATTGCCCCAAAATACAAGAGTGGTGAAGCTGGCATTTTAGATATGCCAAAGAGAAGCAATACAGTGCTTCCTTTAAATGACAAGGTGAAAGTTCTTAACTTAATAAGAAACCAAAAAAATCATGCGCTGAGGTTGCTAGGAACAAATCTTTATCTGTGAAACTGTGGGGAAGAAAAAATAAATGTGTACTAGTCTGCAGTAGCAACTCAAACAGCAAAAGTTACAGCTACAGTCAGTGAAAAGTACTTAGTTAAGATAGAAAATACATTAAATTTGTGGCTGAGAGACATGAACAAGAAACATGTTTTAAATGAAGGTAATGTGTTGCTCCAGAAAGCTCTGAGCCTACTCAAAGACTTCAGCCAAGAATCTCCTAAAATGAGTGACACTACGCCATTTACTGGCAATACTGTTAGGCTGCATTTGTTTTCTCTTAGGAGGGAATGAGTATCAAATCTGACAGAAATGGGATCTGTAAAACACAGAGATACAGGTAAAGAATGTAGCCTGGAGTCTGGCCTAGTGTCGACAGGGATGGAGAGAAAATTCCACTGAGGAATAAGGAGGATGAAAGACCTGGAATAATGTAAAACTGAAGAAAATGTAGCTCTAATCACAATTTTGCACTAGGTATGTTCATCAGACTACCAGATGGAAAATGACATGCGATTTTCAGCCACTCAAAAATAGTACTTTGCCTAGCAGGTGTGGCTCAGTGGTTGAGTGACAACCTATGAACCAGATCATAGTTTGATTCCCAGTCAGGGTACATGCCCAGGTTTCAGGATCAATTCCCAGTAAGGGGTATGCAAGAGGCAGCCAATCAATTATTCTCTCTCATCAGTGATGTTTTTATCTTTCTCTCTCTTCCTCCCTGAAATCAATAAAATATATTTTTCATTCTTTTACTATGAGAATAATACATTAGGATAAAAACTTTTGAAAATCACCATAATCTTAATGCCTGAATGTAGTTTCCATTTTTCTATAAATCATTAAATCTCAAAACACTTTTTATCTTCTTAACAGTCATAAGCAAGGTGTAAATAGAATTTTATATTATTTTAATATATCCTAAGTATTTTTTATTTTATAATGCAGTACTTATCATTTTTAATGGCTGAGTAATATGCTGAGCTAATATAATTTATGTACCCTTTCTCCTGTTAGACACCTAATTTGACTCCTATTTTTCACTATTAAAAATATAATTTTGGCCAAAACCGGTTTGGCTCAGTGGATAGAGCGTCGGCCCAAGGACTAAAAAGTCCCAGGTTCGATTCCGGTCAAGAGCATGTACCTTGGTTGCGGGCACATCCCCAGTAAGAGGTGTACAAGAGGCAGCTGATCAATGATTCTCTCTCATCGATGTTTCTAACTCTCTATCCCTCTCTCTTCTCTGTAAAAACAAAACAAAAAACAAAAAACAATTTTGAGAAGTACTTTTTCCATACAAATCAATATTGTTGAACTATTATTGTTGACAGTATTTCCTTCAAACCCCCCCTCCCACTGAGAACTATCCTTCACTCACTGGGATGAGAATATTCTTAGTTATAGTTATAACTTTATTTGGGCCCTGCCCCTTGCTCTAGCTGACTAGACAGACTAAGGAGAACCCTTTACTCAAGCTGAGCCAATTAGATGTTCTTTCAGGAATACAAAGGTGTGTTTTTGGTGGCTCTGGAGCTGGGAAAGCCATTTCCCACTATATATATAGATAGTGGCCTAGAGCTTTCATAGAACAAGGTTTTTTATGTGAAACAGGGGACACAGACTCTTAGAGGAATATAACTGGCTACTTACCAAATTGACTGTACTTTCTGATCCTAGCCCAACAAACAATGACGATGCCAGCAGCTGCTTTTCTTTCTCCTCTTTAGATTGGGTAAGGAGTTGAGATGGGTCCTTCTTTGTTATAGTTGGGTCTACATTCTCTATTATGCTCTCTTGAGGAATAGGCGGAGCTTCAGTTTCATCACCAGTTTTGCTTTCCTTCTTGGGAAGATAGCCCTCTTTCCCCCACAATTTCTGTATACCTTCCAGCTTCAAGCTACTTGTCCTAAGAAGATTGTTAAAGAAATCAAGTCAATTTAAGTAACTGCTAAGCCATTACTTTCCTGAGGCATTTTTAAAAAACCTATCATTGCCATGGCCTTTTAGGAACCGCTTTTATATTTTATTTTGTATGCACAAAGAAAAACCTAGATCTCTAGATTTTATTTTAGTTACAGCCAAGCACCCCTCTCTCCACCATCCTTCAGACAAAGGATTTAAGACAACAGAACTCTAGACATAGTTCAAAAATTTAGATCATTTAATTTTCATTTAATTGCTTACATAAGGTGTCCACAAATAGAACTACTGTAAATCAGTTCCTTAACCCCAATGACTTTGCAAAATATCTTCAATTCTGATGAGTTAAAGATGAGAAATGACTCTTTAACTTTTTTAGCTATAATTACTCAATGAGAGAATTACCCCTACATAAATTTATCAAATAAAATCCTGTTGCAAAAAAAAAATCATTCAAATCCACTCCAATGTGTAAGTTTACCTTTAATCCAAAAGGTTTTCTTGATATAAACACTAGCTACATTTTCAACTATTACAATGCACCTTTATAAAAATGAAGAGAGGTTTGATTTAAAAAAAAAAAAAAAAAAAAAAGTAGGCTGAAACCAGTTTGGCTCAGCGATAGAGCATCGGTCTGCGGACTGAAGGGTCCTGGGTTCGGTTCCGGTCGGGGGCATGTGCCTTGGTTGTGGGCGCATCCCCGATGGGTGGTGTGCGGAGGCAGCTGGTCGATGTTTCTCTCTCATCGATGTTTCTAGCTCTCTATCCCTCTCCCTTCTTCTCTGTAAAAAATCAATAAAATATATTTTTAAAAATTAAAATAAATAAAATTTAAAAAAAAATTTCCCCCTCTAATTCCCTTTTAATTTCAGACCGGGCCACTAGTCTGAAATGAGTGAACTGTAGTCCTCTTTGGAAAAGCATTGTAAATGTACCCTTGTGTTCCATTTTATGGTAATATAGCATATGTGTAATTCCTTAACTGCTTTGCCAAATGCCCTGAAAGTAGTACATGTTTGCACATAGAATTTACAAGGCCTTGTTTAGTATTTAGTTCAATACTAAACAGCAGATGCTGTCAATTGTTATGCAGGTAAAAGGGACTACATCTCCTCCCTGGGTTTGGAGCGTTACTGTCTCTCCTTCCCTTGCCCCTCAGTTCCCTGTCTGAGGTAGTTAATTGCAATCACCCCCACTATCAGATGCCTACAAACCATACCTGCTTCCCATGCTTGGAATACCAAAATTAAATGTCTGGGGGGGGGGGGGAAACGGGTGTCCACAGAACGGGGAAAAAGGCTAAGGAAGAGAATTTGAACTTATGCCACTTCATTCAGCATATCATTCTATGTTCCTCATGATCTATGTGTCTTTGTTCTGAGAAATACTTCTTACAACCATCTCCCTGGAAGACTGCAAATGCAAAGATGAACACTACATAGGATGAATGACTCCTTAATGAATATGTGAAAACTAAGAATTCAAATATCGTCTTTGAAAGTTGTCACCTTTGAGATTTTATCACATTTATTCCAACAATGCTGCCATTACTCAAAACACTTGAACTCTTTTAGGAAAAGTTCCTACACAAACAAGAAAGCCATTTTCATTTACTTCATATCACAACAGAATACCGACCAAAGTCATCCAGATTGATCAGAAATTTTATTTGATAAACTCAGCTTTTGGATAATTTTTTTTATATTTTTATTGATTTTTTACAGAGAGGAAGGGAGAGAGAGAGAGAGAGCTAGAAACGTCGATGAGAAACATCGACCAGCTGCCTCTTGCACACCCCCTACTGGGGATGTGCCCGCAACCAATGTACATGCCCTTGACCGGAATCGAACCAGGGACCTTTCAGTCCGCAGACCAACGCTCTACCACTGAGCCAAACCGGTTTCGGCAGCTTTTGGATAATTTTTAAAAATATATTTTATTGATTTTTTACAGAGAGGAAGGGAGAGAGATAGAGAGCTAGAAACATCGATGAGAGAGAAACATCGACCAGCTGCCTTTGATTAATAAATGATGACAGCTACCATTTATTAATCACTATGTACTCAGCTATAGGAGGCACTTTACATAATTATCTCATTTAATTTAATCATTTTTCTGAGAGTAATTTATTTGTATTTCCAAAATCAAAACCTACTGTAAAAGGTTACCATTTGGCTGCACATAAGACGTTTAGACATCTGTATCACCATTTTTTAAGGAAAGAAACTCTAAAAGCATTTTGAGTAAAGCACACAGCTTCTTCAGGTAAAGTCAATCACCTTATTTTATGTTCATCTCTATATCTGTCAATCTTCCAATGAGATTGTTAAGAAAAGTTGATTATGAGAAATGTAGAATCATATCCTCAATATTCACCTTGGTATATACGTTGTGATATAATTCTTTAAATATATTATACACACACATATATACCCACATATACATACAATATTCACCTGGGTATATAAGTTGTGATATAATTCTTTAAATATATTATACACACATATACATACAATATGTAGTAATAACACACACATCATTACTATGTGTAAAGGTTGTATACATCCTATGCTGTCTTGGAAATAAGCAAACTCTCTCTCTTTTTTTATTTATTTATTTATTTATTTATTTATTTATTTATTTATTTATTTATTTATTTTTAATCCTCACTCAATTATATTTTTCCATTGATTTTTAAAGAGAGTAGAAGAAAAAAATCAATAAAATATATTAAAAAAAAAAAAAAAAAAAAAAAGAGAGAGAGAGAGAGAGAGAGAGAGAGAGTAGAAGAGCCCTAGCTGATATGGCTCAGTGGATAGAGCATCAGCTACAGACTAAAGGGTCCCAGATTCAATTTCGATCAAGGGCACATGCCAGGGATATGGGCTCTATCCCCAGTAGAGGGGTGTGCAAGAGGTAGCTGATCAATAATTCTCATCACTGATGTTTCTTTCTTTCTTTTTTTTAAAAATATATTTGTATTGCTTTCAGAGAGGAAGGGAGAAAGAGATAGAAATATCAATGATAAGAGATAATCACTGATTTGCTGCCTCTATACACACCCTTCCCCTAGATCCCTCAAACTAGGGATTGAGCCCACAACCTGGGCATGTGCCCTTGACAGGAATCAAACCTGGGACTCTTTAGTCTGCAGGCTGAAGCTCTATCCACTGAGCGAAACCAGCTAGGGCATCATTGATGTTTCTATCTCTTTCCCTCTCCCTTTATCTCTGAAATCATTAAAAATATATTTTCAAAAAAGAGAGAATGAAAGAGAGAGATACAGAGAGAAAGAAACATCTATGTGAGAGAGACACATCGATTGATGCCTCCCGCATGCGCCCTGACCCAAGCCGAGGATAGAGACTGCAACCAAGGTGTGTGCCCTTCGCCAGAATCGAACCTGGGACTCTTCAGTCCATGGGCTGATGCTCCATCCACTGAGCCAAACTAGCGAGAGCGCAAACTCTCTTAAAGTATAAGGACACACTGTATCATATCAACACTTTGAGAGCAAGTAGAAACAAAAGCCTAAGCAGAACTTAGCTTTCAGGAAACCCTCTATATTTAAAGACATTTAGATATTCCTATGTTCTCAATTTTAATAAGAAAGGAACTTACTCTTTCAGCCCTGTCTCTGCACTGTTTCCAGATATATCTGAACCCAGAGAAATGCCAGCAGGAGACTGTCGTCCAGTAAAGCCAGATGAAGAAAAGGAGAGTCCATATGGTTCAAAATTGAGAACTAAAAATTTAAAACAATAAGAATGGTTTATATTTAAAACAAAGCCAAAATTATTTTTAAAAAGGCAAAAATTATCAAAGTTACCATCATTACTGAAATAAAATACCTGAAGACTAGAATAAAGTGATATTTTTTAAACTGGAAGGGAATTTGAAGATGATCTAACCAAATATTTATAATAATAATAACAAAGAAGCTATGATTTATTTAATACTACTACAGTCTTCATACTATTAACTAATCAAAGACAGTACTTCATTTTTATCATTTTACCTCCCTTAGATCCTAAAAAAAAATTCAATTAGGAAAGACAGCTAATAAACCAGATCTTCTGAAAAGTTGCTGCTCTCAAGCAAAAATGTTTAAGCAGCTATGAATGAAGAGATGAGTGTATTTTGCTTAACAAAATGGCACATTCCTGTACCAAACATACTGACAAAGCCCTCAATGTGAAATCTCCCTTACTGATGAAGAACAGATTTAACTCAGGTTCACATTCTATTGAGCCTGTAAACCCAAATGATATTCGATCAGAGCTATGAATTCGATCAGAGCTATGAAAATTCATACTGGTATTGTGGTAGAGCAGATGCCAAAAGACATTCTCTTCTAAGAAACAGAATCCTTAATTCTTAGCTAGGTACATGACCACCCAGAAAAGAGATAACATTTCCAGACTCCTTTGACATCTTTCTTCCCTCCCTTCCTCTTCTATATTCATGAAGCCAACATTAATCCTACTCTGGCTATTTCTTTTTTTTTATTTTAATATATATATTTTATTGATTTTTTACAGAGAGGAAGAGAGAGGGATAGAGAGTTAGAAACATCGATGAGAAAGAATCATCGATCAGCTGCCTCTTGCACACCTCCTACTGGGGATGTGCCCGCAACTAAGGTACATGCCCTTGACTGGAATCGAACCCGGGACCTTTCAGTCCACAGACCGATGCTCTATCCACTGAGCCAAACCAGTCTCGGCTATTTTATTTCTTTAATGGGAAAGAGCAATAACCTTCTGCTTTGTACAAAGTCCCATTATGTATATTTGATTTCCTAACTGCCACATTTATCTTTTTTCTTCTTAAATCATAAAAAGTACCTAAGAATATATTAATGTGGCCATCCTCATTTTATAAATGAAGAAATTATGACAAAGAGGTTGCCATGGACTTACCCAAGATTACAAAGATAGGAAATGATACAGGCAGATAAGAAAGGGGGAAAAAGAGAGAGGGGGGGGAGGGAGGGAGGAAGGGAGGGAGGGAGGGAGGGAGGGAGGGAGGGAGGGAGGGAGGGAGGGAGGGAGGGAGGGAAATCAGGCACTTTGGTTCCAGAGTTTCACTCTCAACTACTATATTACATTGCCTCCTTCAAAGAAACATAGCCCTCAGTGTGAAATCTCCCTTACTGACAAAGTACCTGACCGAAAGAGTACCAAATAAATGTTTGTTCGTTAGCTAAATGAATGATATAGAAGAGGAATCAATGTGCAGTAGAAAAAAGTAATGGGCAAATTGATAATCAGGAGAGCTGAGTTCTTGATGTAGGTCAGGTATTAAATAGGTATATGAACTAGACCTTTATTTCTTTATAAAGTGAAGCATTCAGACGAGGTCAGCAGTTTCCAAATGCTGATGTGATAACCAGAATCAAGCTGACTTCACCGAACTCCTACAGACCTTTGTGTACACACAGCCAAGCTTTCAGAGATTTAGATACAGAAGGTATAGGGAGAGAGCTATGCCCTGTCTTATACCTGATTTCTCTCCCCATAATGTAACAGATAGCCTAAGCTCATGAGATTTGATTTTACCTTAGAAAACTTTTGAAAAATAGATTTTGGAAGAGAAGGGAAGAGCCTAATTTGAGAACTTAACCCCATTTATAATAATGTTCTATGGGGGAAAAAGTACTTGGCAAAGGAATTCATTGGTTTGGGGAATTCCAGGACTATCTATTACATTTATATCAGCCACTTAGCTTATTTTAAGAACAGATTCAGGCAGTGCCAGGAACTAGGCTCTTCGTCCTATCTCCCCTTCCCTAACCCACCCCTGAATTGTAGTAACAGCAGGCTGATGGGCCAAACACACTGAAAATAAGGATTGTGGCAAATGGACCACATCTCCCACTCTGGACCACCAGATTTTCACTCCTTGCCCTGGATGTCATAAGGCCATATGCAGTATAGTCACAGGACGGGCAATTAGAACTCAAAATTTTATTTACTACCCTTCCACACCCACACCCACACACACACACACACACACACACACACACACCGCCACACACACACACACACACACACACACTCCATCAATACAGGGTATCTCTGTGCTAAACAAAAATTTTAAAAGAACAAATACTTCTAAAAAAAAGATAACATCATGCCTATTATTAGTGTTTATATTTTGGGTCTCATTTTAGGATCAACCCTTTAGTTGTACTCCTATGCCTTAGCACAGAGCCTGGAAAATATTAAGTACTCAACAAAATCATTAAATGATTTAAATCATTAAATAATTTCCTCCTTACTAAAATCATGACAGAAGTCTTTCCTTGACAGGCTACATTTCTTATATGTAGTTTAAGTTATTCTTTCCTGTCTTAGCTGTTACTAACATCACTCATCCCATATTTTGCTAGAGGAAGTGTTCTAACACACTTAAGATATATAAGACTGCACAGGATGAAAATGAACTCACTAGTCCACAGAACCAGTTTTTTCCTGAAATTGTTTCACAGGTATGCTCACACTACTATCTGTCAGCCCTCTATCACAGTGAACAACATGATAATTCCACCTGCCAGGTCTTTTGAAATTCCTGGCTGGCTGGCAAATCTTAGGCACTGCTGTATAGGAAGCCTTTAGGAATACCTGTAGGCCAGTGGTCGGCAAACTCATTAGTCAACAGAGCCAAATATCAACAGTACGATGATTGAAATTTCTTTTGAAAGCCAAATGTTTAAACTTAAACTTCTAGCACCACTTCTTTAAAATAGACTCGCCTAGCCGTGGTATTTTGTGGAAAAGCCACACTCAAGGGGCCAAAGAGCAGCATGTGGCTCTGGAGCCGCAGTTTGCCGACCACTGCTCTAGGCTGTTTTTTCCTGGATTTCCAAAGACCTAGTCAGGGTAAACAAGTCACAACAGCTTTAAAGAGGAAAAATAGAAGTAAATACCCTCAATTATTTACTTACATGCATAAAAAAAGATGCCCCACCCTGGCCAGTTTGGCTCAATGGTAGAGTGGTGGCCTGCACAACAGAGTCTCGGGTTCAACTCCTTGTCAAGGGCATTACCTGATTGCAGGTTTGTTCCCCAGCCCCAGAATGGGCGCATGCAAGAGGCAACGCATGGATGTGTCTCTCTCACACTGATATTTCTCTCTTTCTCTTTCCCTCCCACCCCCTTCCACTCTCTCTCAAAATCAATCCTTACCCTTGGATAGTTTTTCCATTAAGGAAAAAAAAAAAAAAAAAGACACCCCTATAACCTAGCCTACAAACTCATAAAAAATTACCTTTTTCCTGGGAAAGCTTTTCCTCCTGCCGCTGGTGGTGAGGTTTGTAAGGTGCTGCCCCCTGACTGAGTTCTTCAGCCACATGACTATCCAGAAAAGACAAGGAAGCATCTACCTATATTAAATTGAAGCAAAAATCAGGAATTAAAAATTTACCCTAAAACAGTATACTGTACGTTCACATAAGTACTTTCAGCCCATATATCCTAAAAACATTTTTAGGTGAAAAGCAGAGATTCAATTCCAAAAGTACTACCTAACTCTGTAGCTTTCTGAAACATCCATAATCAAAACACTTAGCTAAGTCATGTGCAGTGATTACTAATTTCACTGCATTGAGGAATACATTTTTGAGTACCCAGTATATTAGGGCATCATGATAAGAGACAAAAGAAAACACAGTTCCTGTCCTCATGAGACTTGTAACTTACCAGAGGATAAGATACATCATATACTAGAGCTATAATCTGTATTACATTCCAGCTGTTGAGGGATAAAAACAAGATGCTGACAACACTCGTTCCTTTCAGAGACTTTGGGGGAGAATAAGTTCCTTGTCTCCTCCAGCTTCTAGAAGGCTGCCAGCATTCCTTGGCTGTGGCCACATCCCTCAATCTCTGTTTCTATAGCTACTCTGCCTTCTCTACACTGAACTCTTGCCTCACTTTTCTAAGAGCCCTTGTGATAATCTCATGCCTACTTGAATAATCCAGGATAATTCCCCCATCACAAAATCCTTAACTTAATTACATCTACAAAGTCCCTTTTACCGTGTAAGGTAACATACACACAGGTTCCAGGGATTGAGATGTGAACCTCTTGCAGAGCCATTACTCGGCCTCCCACAGTGCCTTTGATTTAACTATCCAATTCCTTTCTATCTGAAAATGCTTTTCCAAAAATCTATGGCAAATTACTTAACTAATTTCAACAGGAATAGAAAAGTATAAGAGAATGATTAAATAAAAAGAGAAAGAGAGAGATGGAGAATGAGTAAGGGAAAAAGGAGAAGAGAAAGAGTAAGAAGAGAAAGAAAAATGAGATATAAACAAGAGGATAGTAGTGATAACCTCAGAAACAAGAAACTAGCTTCTCCTGATTTAGCCAAATGTATGCAAACAGCTGCTAATTTAGAACAGCAAATAAGTCTCAAACATTTAAGTGGCTTGTCACACTCTGAATTTGGAAAGGTTTAGTTTCACTAAGATTCTTAGAGAAAAGAGGAAGTGAGGTTATTTCCTAGTTTAATTTTATATGCAGCATATTTATTGATCATCTCAATGAATGTCTCTGAAATGTCTACCAAATATTAAAGCAAGGCCTCTGCCTCTGAGGACCTATTGAGAGAACAAAGGAACAAAGCTTCAAAATTAATACAAGTCATGAAAATCTGAATCAGAATTAGTGGGAATACTGCCCATCCTCTTCTCTTTATCAACTATATGACATCTAACATAAAAATTTGAGCAAATCTGGTTTCCTTTTGGAAGTTTTCTGATTTACACCAATCTGAGGGACAGACTGGTACAAATTCAGAGGGTGAGCAGTAACTGAGTGCATTGGGTTAAAAGGGGTGGTGGCTAAAAGGAGGTGGGAGAGAGAAAGGTTGGTGGCAGGTTCCAAAGTGGTAAAGAATTTAGACAGTGGGTGGACGAAATAAAATGGAGCACTATCTTTTACATTCTTAAAGAAAAGATAGGAATAATAAAACAATATATTAGAGTTCAAAGGAGATCAAAATTCTTGAATTATTATATATTCAAAGAGATTGTCAGAATATAAATGCCTTCACTGCAGTTCTTCAGAAGAGACACTCTTCAATTCCTGACTTAGGATCACTACTGCACAGAAGCTCTCAAGGTCTCTTATACTAGTGTGAGAAAAATTCCAACCTACAGAAACTATATTTTGATCTATTCCTGACATATCACAAATGCAAAAATTATTGTTTAAATATTATGTAATTTTTAAAAAGGTGGAACACAAATGTCTTACCACCATGTCTTCACAACTCTTATTAAGTGGTAGCAAACTCTTCATGAGTTCTGCATTCTCATGCAAATGCTTTAGTTCAAATGCATGCTGTCTCAGACAAGTATCCAAAGATACTGTAAATTCCTGGATTAATCTCTCAACAATGTTAGAAGATTGTGCCTGAGGCGTCAACTTGGTCACAGCAGCAATTAGCCAGGCTTTTGTTTCTGAAGAAATGGAGTCATTCATAAGTAACTTGTAGAGTTTGGTTATAACTTCTTCTGGTGTTTCCTTATCTATGAGGTAGGAATACTCCCCTAATACCTATGAGTAAAACAAGGAGATGTTTATATACAAATATCACGTTATACAGCAAACTATACTTGGAAATCTAAACAAAGTGCCTATTGCTGAAGTGAATTTAATCTAGATTAAACATTCTCATAGTAAAAAAAAAAAAAAATACATTAGATAAAGATTAAATTGTACATATTAGTTCAAAATCATACCAAGATTGGAACTCAATACAAAAATGTTTTCTACATCTTGATCATTAACAATATACAAAATAGATACCTTTACCGATTAGCCTTATTCTGAACTTCCACATTTGGTTGTTGGTTTTTCCAAGCATTTTTACATTCTATTATTACTTTCCAATAAAGTATTTAAATGCTAGCATACATAAGGGTCACCTGAAGTGTTTCATTACAATACAGATTTCTAGGCTTTATCCACGGATATATTAAAAGAGATTGTCAAAGAGTACAAATCCCTCAAAACAACAATGCGGTACCAACTCACACCTGTCAGAATGGCCAACATCAACTATCAACAAACGACAAGTGTTGGCGAGGTTGTGGAGAAAAAGGAACCCTCGTGCACTGCTGGTGGGAATGCAGACTGGTGCAACCACTGTGGAGAACAGTATGGAGTTTCCTCAAAAAACTGAAAATGGAACTCCCATTTGACCCAGTAATCCCACTCCTAGGAATATATCCCAAGAAACCAGAAACACCAATCAGAAAGGATATATGCACCCCTCTGTTCATAGCAATACAATCTACAATAGCCAGAATTTGGAAACAGCCTAGGTGCCCGTCAGCAGATGAGTGGATCAAAAAACTATGGTACATCTACACGATGGAATGCTATGCTGCCATAAAAAAGAAGGAATTCTCATCATTTGCAGCAACCTGGATGGAATTGGAGACCATCATGCTGAGTGAAATAAGCCAGTCAATGAAAGAGAAACTCCACATGACCTCACTCATTTATGGGTAATAAAGAACATTATAAACTGATGAATCAAAAGATATAGAGACAGTAAAGCAACAAGCAGACTGTCAAATTACAGTGGGGAGGGTAGGGAGATCTGGGGGAGACAATAGATCAACCGAAAGACTTGTATACATGCATATAAGTACAACCAATGGACACAAAACTCTGGGGAGGGAAGGGATATATAAGGGGGGGGGGGGGGTAATGGTAAGATATGTACACAAATAATACTTTAATAAAAAATAAAAATAAATTAAAAGGGGGGGGGGGGGAGAAAGAGTACAAATCCCTTCATTCCAGTACTCCAGAAGACACTCTTCAATTCCTGATTAGGAACACTACTGAAAGCTCTCAAATTCTCTCTCAAACTAATGTGAGAAAAATTCCAACCTACAAACACTATAGTATGCCTGTGGTGATAATGTGCACTGCACATTTGGAACAAGCATCAGCTGATTCTGATGAAGATGGATGATCCACAGAACATTGAAGAACACTGATCTATGTTACACATCATTTTTCTTACATCTAACTTATCCAGGAGATATATAATCCTACTGGTCTAAAAATCACTAATAAACTGACAACTCATGAAGTGTGAGACCTTTCCTAAATAGCTTTTATTAAGTATATTCATGTCATTGGTGTAATATTGGCACTAGCAAGAAATAAGAGGGAGGTGAGGTAACAGTCAAGGGAAGATGTATCGCTTAGTAACAAGAGGAGGAAGAAGAAATACAACTCATTGCCCTGACCAGTTTACTCAGTGGTTAGAGCGTCAGCCTGTGGACTGAAAGGTCCTGGGTGCCGTTCTGGTCAAGGGCACATGCCTAGGTTGCAGGCTGGATCTCCAATAGGAGGAGTGCAGGAGGCAGTCAATCAATGGATCTCTCTCATCACTGATGCTTCTACCTCTCTCTTACTCTGTGAAATAAAAAATATTAAAAAAAAAGAAAGAAAGAAAGGAAGGAAGGAAGGAAGGAAGGAAGGAAGGAAGGAAGGAAGGAAGGAAGGAAGGAAGGAAAAGAAAAGAAAAGAAAAGAAAAGAAAAGAAAAGAAAAGAAAAGAAAAGAAAAGAAAAGAAAAGAAAAGAAAAGAAAAGAAAAGAAAAGAAAAGAAAAGAAAAGAAAAGAAAAGAAAAGAAAAGAAAAGAAAAGAAAAGAAAAGAAAAGAAAAGAAATACGACTCATTAAGTTCAGTCCTTAAGTAGTAAGGTAATTTTTTGAGAGCCAGCACTTTCCATTGCTCAGCAATAACAAGGCCCCCCCTTCACAATGTCAGCAGAGGCCACTAGTTCAATCTTAACACCCTTGTCGCAACATCTTCAAAAGAATTTAGTCATCATTTATGGAACACACCACCCAACAGCAGCAGAATGCCCATTCTTTTCAAACACCCAGAGAACCCAGACAATATCACAGGCTCAAAAAATTTAAAAGAAACTGAAATCACACAGTATTTTCTCTGACAATAGAATCAAACTAGAAATCGGTAACAGAGAAGATAACAGGAAATTTTCCAAACACTAAAAAACTGAACAACTCTCTTCTACACAATCTTTCCAAAAAATAGAAAAGAAAACCCTCAACTCATTTTATGAAGCCAGCATAATCTTGATACCAAACCAGAGAAGAAAAATATGAAAACTACAGGCCAATATCCCTCATAAACAGAAATGAAAAAATTCTTAACAACGTTTCAAGAAATCTACAAAAACAATTCTAGATTGCCAGGCAGCAAACGTATAGAAACCAAAATAAAAATACATTTACTACTGCTCTAAAGAAAATTACTTAAGTATAAATCTAACAAAACATGTACAGGATTTGTATGCTGTAGAAAGAAATAAAAACACTCTAAATATATGGAAAATAAATAAATAAATAAATAAATAAAATGACATGTCACGTTGATGAAGGAAAAAAAACAAATGGCCACCAGATATAATAACCAATTTAGTGTAAGGATTATCAATGCTAAAAGCACTGGAGAAAGAGAGCTGAGGAAAAGATGTTCACAGAGCCTCACAGAATCACCTCACATTAATTTCAAATTATTAGAGAAAGCACTCCTTGACAATGGAGAAATCTGAAAGTCAATGTCTTCACCAAACAAACTTACAATCACCGATAATTGAAGGAACTGGAATCACATGCATCCTAATATAATGCAGTAGAAAGTACATATGATTGCCAATGTAGAAGTCTTGCTAAAAAATGATTAACAGAACCAGAAATAATCAGAGAAATTCAGAAATGTGGACATTCTACAACTCAATAGTATTCATCCAAAAAAATCAATGTCATGAAATCAAAAAGAAACTGAGACTCATTATAAAAGCCTAAAAGCATATTAAAAAAAAATAGAATTTGCAAACTCTTACTGGATGTAGGATTGGAAAGAGCAGAAAAACAGCCTTAAGGAGACTCTTTTTTTGGATTGTGAATAAAAACTGTATTTAGGTGATATTAATAAATTAATATTTCTTAGGTATAATAATGGTTTTATCATTATCTAGAATAATGTCATTCTTACGAGATCCATGTTCAATTTTTTATGGGTCAAGTGTCATGATATCTACAACTCAATTTTAAATGCTCCAGTAAAACAAATTATTAATATATAGAGGTAGACCTAGATATAAGTGTTGATAAAATAAAGCAAAGATGATTAAAAATAATAAGTTGGATGCCCGCCCAGTATGGCTCAGTGGATGAGCATCAACCCATGAACCAGATCATAATTCAATTCCCTGTCAGGGCAAAGGCCTGGGTTTCAGGTTCAATCCCCAGTAGGGGTCGTGCAGGAGGCAGCTGATCAATGATTCTCTCTTATTGCTGATGTTTCTATCCCCCTCTCCCTTCTTCTATAAGTAAATAATAACTGGAAATCTAGAAGAAAAGTATAGTGGTACTGTTATAACTAGTCTTTCAACTTTCCCATAGATAAGAAAATTAAAATTCTTAAATAAAAGACTGGATAAAATTTAACATGCTAAGCTTTGGCAAAACTATAAAATATTAAAATGTGCATATCCTTTGACCCAAAAGTTGTACTTCTCCAAATCTCTGCTATAAATACCCATATGCATAAAAAGGAATACACAAAGATGATGGAATATATGTGATTATATATGATTAAATTACATAAAATTGTGGCTTACATCTTACAAAGAGATGATTTCCCTTGCTGCTTTGATGAAGCAAACACCCATATTGGGAAGCCCACATGGCAGGAAACTAAAGGTCATTTTAGGAACCTACAATTTTACAGCCGAAGAAGCTGATTTCTGAGCTTGGAAGTAGACTCTTTACCAGTCAAATGTCAGATGAGACAGCAGCCCCAGCCAATATGTTGACTGTAACTCTAAGAGGCCCTAAGCAGAGAACCCAGTAAGCCATGTCTATACTCCTAACCCACAGAAACCATGAGATAATAGATTTATGTTGTTTTAAGCATTAAGTCTGTGGTAACATTATTTTACAGCCATTGTTAACTAATATGTCATCGTTACATGAGTATTCACACATTCAAATACAGATTCACAAAGGAAACACAACAAATGTGTTGTAGACAGAGAAATCTAAACAAATACTCATATTTAAAAGACTAGACATGTGAGATAGCAGGAAGAATGAGCAGACAAGTAAATAGTTAAGTGATAAAAGGGGGCTGGACACTGGGGCTAGTGAGGAATTGACAGCTGAAGGAGTTAGCTGAATAGAGCTGAATGATTTCTGAAGGAAATATATTGTTAGCATTTGTTTTTATAAAAATATAATTTTACAAACATTTATGATTGAATGTACTTTGCTCACCCAACTCATAACTTGAAGAAATCTCTGTGGATAGAACACATTTTCCACATCTAATAAAGTGAGATAAGACTGAACTGCATAAAGCCTTAATTGTTGATTTTCTGTTTCATCATCAAAACCTACAAAGAAATTGATATATCATTTTCATTAAACTCTCTAAGGACTCTGTAGTAAAAACTTTTAATTTAAAAGTCTTTTACTTTACAGAATGCAATAGTTTACGAACCTTCTGCTAGCAGTCTCAGGAAGTTATTGGGAATATCAGGATGCATCATATCTCCTCCTATTGAAAACACAGCATTCATTGTCTGAATAAACCATGCATTATCAGGAGCATATGTGTCCACAGTGTTAAGAATAAGTACACTTCCAAATGGCACTTACTAAAATTATCCTCTCTGCATCAACCTTTTAAAAATAACCAATTCATCCTAGTTTGGCATTTTTACCTTTAACCTCTGCCAATAAATTGTCCTATATCCCAGTTTTATATAAAATAGGTGTTCAATAAATCTTATTTAATAAACTTTAAAAACCAGTTCAGGTCAATTTTTCTAGCACTCTGCCTTGTACATAACAGGCATCCAATAGTAAATGGCAAGTAAATGAAAGAAATGTTTCAGCAAATTACAGACAATACATAACGGGAAATAATATACACTTCAAAGAGACTGAATGTTGTGATTTGTCTACTTGAACAAGTTAACCTCCTATCTAATCTGCTCCTCTTCAGTTCTAATATTTTATCATTTTTCTGGCCAAACCTAGATCACTGCCTAAGATTTAAGTAATTTCCAAGATAATTTAATTAACATTATTTATTCATTCTTCCTTAGCTTTAACAACAGACATCTTAATAAGAATACAACTTTAAGAGGTCCTAAGCAGAGAATTCAGCTAAGCCATACCTATATGCCTGACCCACAGAAACTATGACATAATAAATTTATGTTGTCTTAAGCATTGAGTCTTAACCAGAAGTTCCTCTGACTTTTAAAAAACTAACGTGGCCAAAATCAGTTTGGCTCAGTGGATAGAGCGGATTGAAAGGTCCCAGGTTCAATTCCAGTCAAGGGCATGTACATTGATTGCGGGCACATGCCCAGTAGGGGGTGTGCAGGAGGCAGCTAGTCAATGTTTCTCTCTCATTGATGTTTCTAGCTCTCTATCCCTCTCCCTTCCTCTGTAAAAAATCAATAAAATATATTAAATAATAAATAAAAAAACTAATGTGAAGAAAAGTATCATGTGAATGGAATTCCCAACTACTTTACTGTGATAATTTCTAATATAAACAATACAGGGGTAAGCAAAAATAGATTTATAGTTGTAAATCTATGCAAAACAGAGTTTATTGTGGTATTATTATTATTAATTACTAGAGTCCCGATGGGCAAAATTTGTGAAGGGGGGATGGGATCCCTCAGCCCAGCCTGCACCCTATCCAATCTGGGACTCCTCGAGGGATGTCTCACTGCCCATTTAGGCCCAATCCCACCTAAACGGGCAGTAAGACACCCTTGACAATCCAGGACTGCTGGGTCCCAACTGCTCGCCTGACTGCCTGCCTGATTGCCCCTAACCAATTCTACCTGCCAGCCTGATTGACACCTAACTGCTCCCCTGCCAGCCTGATTGACACCTAACTGCTCCCCTGCCAGCCTGATTGCCCCTAACTGCCCTCCCCTGCCGGCCGGGTCACCCCCAAGTGGCCTCCCCTGCTGGACATCTTGTGTCCACATGGGGACAGCCATCTTTGACCACATGGGGGTGGCCATCTTGTGTGTTGGAGTGATGATCAATTTGCATATTACTTCTTTATTATATAGGATTGTATTATTTTCCATACAATGCAAAACTACTTTTGCCAACCTCTGCAGTGTAAAAGATAAATGTTAGCATCCTGATTTCTCCACCCAACCCACACACCCCTAAAAACAACAAAAAAACTCAGAAAAGAAACTGAGCAGGAAGTAAAGTCAAAGACAAGGAGGGACTGACAGAGAAATCAGGTAGACATTCCTCTATCTTCTTGCTCATAATACTGACCAAAAGAATGAAAAGAGCCAGGAAAAAAAGCCATCCCCTAAGAAGTCTACACAATTTCCCATTTTTGACGAGAGACTTGAATATCAAAAATGGAAATTATGCTGGGTCTCTGAACTCAATTTGCAAGTGAACATGTCCATACCAATCATTTTAAATCACTGTGTAACTAAAGGCATTGTATGATTATGGTTCAAACAAAGGATATTTTTCAGCCAGCTCAGCTATTTTGCCAACCAAATTGACGATAATATACTCTTCTTTGCTCTGATGTAAATATTCAAGCATTTTCTGGACAATCACTGTTATATTCTGTGCATTAGTAATTCTGTAAAGAAGTTCCAGCGTCTATTTAAGGAAGAGAAACAAAAACAGTATTATAAAACTATACATGATAACAATGAATACAGTAACATGTTTATAACACAGTTGATTATTTCATTTTTACTGGTATGTAGATCTCCTGAACAGGCCATTTAATAGGTATGCAAAAAATGCAAAGGACTTAATAATGGTAACCGTTAGAAATAAAAAGAACTTAAGAAAAATAAAACTATTGTTTAAAAAATTAATTATGGCTGTAGCTCGTTTGGTTCAGTGAATAGAGCATTGGCACACAGACTGAAGGGTCTCGGATTCAATTCCAGTCGAAGGCACGTTCCCCGATTGCCGGCTTGATCCTTGGTCTAGTTCGGGATATGTGTGAGAGGCAACCAATTGATGTGTCTCTCTCACACAGATGTTTCTCTTTCTTTCTCTTTCTCTCTCCTCCTCACTCCCTTTCACTCTCTTTCTGAAGATCAATGAAAAAAATATATATATCCTCAGGTAAGAATAAATACATAAATAATAATAATAGTTTTAATTCAAACACAGTACCTTTTAAAATTCATAATGTTTTAAAAATTACAATTGTTTAATGCAATACAATGTTCTCTCAATAACTACTTTAACTCATTGCTTCTAAGTAAGTTACATGTTTAGTGGCCCCTTTTATCTTTAGTACTTTTAAAATCAGAAATAAAACTATCCATTCTTCTTAACTTCCTATGTACCATTTTAAATGAAGATATAGTGATATCTCTACATGAGAATTAAAAAAATATTTATATAGACACCCAACCAATTTTATAAAAGGAAAAAGTTGAAAAAGATTAAGCAAATAAAACACCTTTCCTTCCAAGAAGTTAAAATCATTTTAGGAATGTTTTCATACATTCCTACTATGTAATAGGGAATGTATTATCCCATTTTACAAGTATTATAGAGAACAATGAAAGATTTTTAATCATCATGTAATATATCTCAAAATGGTACTAATAAAAACTAGGAATAAAATGCAGGTCTTCTATTGACATATTAATAATATCTTGGACCAAAAAGATATTAATGAGTCTCTGCAGGAAATTGGACCTAATTCCTCCAACTCATAATTTAAAACCATTCCTGTGGATACTGACACAAGAAGTTTTTAGAAAAGTTTCTTAAATTTAGCAGAAAGAATAAAATGCTCTTAAAAGTTAAAATACACACACACACACACACACACACACACACACACACACTGCCCACCACTTTAATTTCTCTCCATAATGGCAATAAAAAGTTTTAAAACTGTAATATATAATTCAAAACATCAACTTACCTCTCTTTTAATAATGGGATCAGGATGGTCTAAGCATTCAATTATTGTCATCTGGTGTTGAAGAGCCAGAGTGGGATCCTGTTGAATAACATAGGTAAGAGCCTTCAGTCCTAAAAGCAAAAATCACATTGTATGAAGTGACTTGCAACAAATACCCAGCAAATTTCAAAAGCTCTCTTTGTAATTTTTGTCAAAAGAACCAATCATCTTACCTAAATATTTGAGATTTATTTTAGGTGACAGGACAAATTTCCCAATGCACTTGGCAGCTTTCTCAAGTAATTCTGACTTGGGATAAATAGAATAGACTGTATGCACACATTCAAACAGAATGGCTAGAGAAAGAAAACATAAAAATGTCAGGGATCATGTTAAGGCATAATAAAAAAAATATTTGTGTGGAACTCATAACAAAGCAAACTAATTAGAAGGCCAGTTGTAGTCAAAAATCTCTTTTTGGAAAATTTTCTTAGATATAAACGTTGTTGTTTTCAGACTTATACAGTTTTTACGATTACATATGTTAACAGTACAATTTAAAGAGAATTTTGAATAGTAACAGATAAAAATAATGCATTAATTCATGCAACAACTATTTATTGAACACCCCTATGTGCCAGACATTGTTCTAGTCATACGGATACAGCAGTGAACAAAACAGAAAAAACCCTTCCCCCCCTCAAGGAGCTCACAGTCCAATGACACATAGGTAACATTTTCTTTCTCTCTCTCTCTCTCTCTCTCTCTCTCTCTTTTAAATATACTTTATTGATTTTTTATAGAGTTGAACAGAGAGGGATAAATATACTTTATTGATTTTTTTATAGAGTTGAATAGAGAGGGATAGAGTGTTAGAAACATCAATGAGAGAGAAACATCGATCAGCTGCCTCCTGCACACCCCCTTCGGGGGATGTGCCCGCAACCAAGGTACATGCCCTTGACCGGAATCAAACCCAGGACCCTTCAGTCTGCAGGCCAACGCTATATCCACTGAGCCAAACCAGTTTCGGCCATAGGTAACATTTTCATTATTCCTATATAAGTAGATATTTCTATTTCAATGCTCTAAAGTAATTTATTTTAATACAATTTACTTAAAATAATTTCTTTTCTGGCCATTTCTACCATTTGTATAGAAAAACTCTAGTCCTGACCAGTTTGGCTCAGTTGACAGAGTATCGGCCTGCAGACTGAAAGGTCCCAGGTTCGATTCCAGTCAAGGGCATGTGCCTTGGTTGCGGGCACATCCCCAGTAATAGGTGTGTAAGAAGCAGCTGATCAATGTTTCTCTTCTCATCGATGTTTCTAGCTCTCTATCCCTCTCCCTTGCTCTCTGTAAAAAATCAATAAAATATATTTAAAAGAAAAAAACTCTATATGTGATTTTTTTCAATATAATCATTTTGGGATACTTTAGCATTTATTTCAAAGTAGAGCCACTGCTCAAAAATCTTCAAAATCACCTCTTTAAAAATTAATCACAAAGAATATAACACAATTTATTGAACACCTTGATAGTGTTCAATATGATTTTCTTATATAGTCAAAGATCTGATAACTATGACAGATGATCAAAGTGACACTAATACATTTTTCAAACTTTTTTCAAGAGCATCAGTCGTGGAGCTGAAGCTTTGCCACAGTAAAGAAGAATCAGGTAGGCACTACTAATTCCTGCATGGCCTATGCAATCATAGCATGAGAACTGAGACAGACTCTACAGCCTTAAAAACAGTTCTAGTGCAAGTTGAAGCATATCAAGTGTCCCTGACAGAATCACTTCTCTATTTCCAAACATTTAAAAAACCATAACAATCGAACACTTCTTTGCATGCATGATAGATTCTGAATATTCAACTAGCTATATTTTATACTTGTCTATCAATTGAGGCACACATAAATATTGTGTAAAAAAAAAAAACACTTTGTATAAACCCTTTTGATAGAGAAATCAGAAATATTAAGTGCTAATTAAGAATGGAACTGACTTTAAAAAAGGGTTTATATAAAGTTTTTCTTATACAGTATATATGTGTGCCTCAATTGATAGGCAAGTATAAAAAATAGCCACTTGCCCTGGCCAGGTGGCTCAGCTGGTTGGAGTGTCATCTCATACACCAAAAGGTGGGTTCGATTCCAGTAAGGGCACATACCTAGGTTGCAAGTTCAATCCCAGATCGGGCTGCATAGGAGAAGCAACCGATCAACGTTTCTCTCTCACATTGATGCCTGTCTCTATCTCTGACTCTCCCCCTCTCTCTAAAATCAATAAATATATTCTCAGATAAGGATAAAAAAAAAAAAAAAAAGGAGGAAAAATGGACAAACTTTTTTCTTTAAGAAAAACCTACAAAGTAAGTTAACTGAACTTAAAAAGATATTTTATATATTCGGATGCCTCACTATAATATCTATTCTGTGCTATGAAAAAGTTGACTTTACAACATTATGAACTAAATAAACTGAGCCTTAACCAGCTACCCTCAGCCTATTTTTGCAAGCCTGTGAACTAAGAATTGTTTTTACATTTTTAATTGAGATATAATTGACATAAAACATTATATTACTTTCAAGTGTATAATTACAATTTATTTTTAATATTTTTATTTATTTCAGAGAGGAAGGGAGAGGGAGAAAGATAGAAGCATCAATGATGAGAGAGAAACATCATGGATCGGCTGCCTTCTGCACACCCCACACTGGGGATGGAGCCTGCAACCCAGGCATGTGTCCTGGCCAGAATCAAACGGTGACCTCCTGGTTCGTAGGTCGAAGCTCAACCATTGAGCCATGCGGCCTGGCTCTAATTAGACTTTCAAAGGTTGTAAACACACACACACACACACACAGGAAAATATGTGTGACAGAAACATATGTGACTTACGAAGCCTAAAATATTTACTATCCGGTTCCCTTTTCAGAAAAAGTTTGCCAAACCCCGAACTACCTGTAATAATGTGACAGCCCTGAGCAAGATTAAAAATTGTGATGCTCCATTTTCTATCATAATTGACATTTCTTCCTTATTGGATTCCTGCCATTCAAAACTCTCCCATTTTACTACAAAAACTTCTTACTATTACTCATCTGAAATCTAAACTTTTATATATAGATGCTTGTAAGATTTCTGGAAAGCTAGAATAGGTAAAATTAGTAATTCAAAATCTGCATTTACTAGTCAGCTTTGGCAAAAATGAGCTGAAAATGAATTTAAATGTTTAAATTATTTTCTCACCTAGAACTAAGTCCTTTTATTCTCCAACTCTACAAAATCTGAATATAAGTTCATAAAAGTGGTCTTCTTTCCACAATGTTTGAGAGAAATGTGTTTCTGAAGATTTCTAAACATAAAAACACTAATGGTCCGGTGCATGAAATTCACGCACATTAAAAGGGGATTAATTAGAGAAAATAATTTAATATTGCTATTTGCCCTTTATAATAGAAGTGTCAGAGATGGAAAAAAAATTAGTAAAATGTATATAAAAACCTTCCTCCTATCAGAGTCTGGGGCACACCACAGGACCCAGTCAAGTGTCCGCCCACCCACATGTGCCTCAAAATGGCATAAGACCCAGATCTGGCCATCACCCAGCCATTGGGCTAGATCCAGACCCAGCCAGTTCCACCCTTGTCAAGCCCTGCCAGGACGGGGTATGTGGCCTGAGGTCCCCCAGCCCACACCAGGATGAGGAGCATGCCTTGAGGTCCCCCATCAAGCACCACCAGGCAGGGGGGTGAGGCATAGCCTTAGGTCTCCCTGCCCGGCACCAGGAGAGGGGCACAGTCTCAGGTGCCCGTCAAGCCCACTGGGCGGGAGGCTCAGCCTGAGTTCCCCCGACCTACAGTGGGGTTGCACCTTGAAGTCCCCGTCAAGCCCCGCTGGGTGGGGGGCGCAGCCTGAGGTCCCCTGTCAAGCCCGGCCAGGAAGGGGAGTGTAGCCTCAGGTCCCTTGGCCCGGTGCTGGGGTGGGGGTGCGGCCAGAGGTCCCCTATCCCAGAACCAGGCCGGGAAGCATACCTTGAGGACCCCCATCAAGCCCGGCCGAGTGAGGGGCATGGCCTCAGGTTCCCTGCCTGGCACCAGGGCAGGGGTCACAGCCTGAGGTCCCCAGGCCTGGCATTGGGGTAGGTGCGAGGCCTGAGGTCCCTGTCAAGCCCTGCTAGGTGGGGAGATGGCCTAAGGTCCCCTGTCAAGCCCCACTCGGGAGAGGAATACGGTGTGAGGTCCCCTGGCCTGGCGCCAGGGCAGGGGAAGCAGCCTGAGGTCCCCTAGCCCAGCACCAGGATGGGAAGCGCACCTTGAAATCCCTCATCAAGCCTGGCCAGGTGGGGGCAAGGCCTGAGGTCCCTGTCAAACCCCACGGGGGCAGAGGAGGGGATAGCCTCAGGTCCCAACTGATTACTCATTGAGTCTTCTTATGGGAACTTGGCCTCAGCTGTGGGTGCAGCCATCTTTGTGATGGAGTGATGGTCAATTAGCATATTCCCTCTTTATTAGATAGAATAGCTTGGAGCTTTATTTACTCTTCCAGAGCAACCCAGGTCCTAACCAAAATATCATCAAGTAAAAATTACCAGATTAAAAAGTAATACCTTTCTAGCCGAAACCGGTTTGGCTCAGTGGTAGAGCGTCGGTCTGCAGACTGAAAGGTCCCAGGTTCGATTCCGGTCAGGGGCACATACATTGGTTGCGGGCATATCCCCGGTGGGGAGTGTGCAAGAGGCAGCTGGTCAATGTTTCTCTCTAATCAGCATTTCTAGCTCTCTATCTCTCTCCCTTCCTCTCTGTAAAAAAATCAATTAAAAAATATATTTAAAAAAATTAATGCCTAACATCCACAACATTGTGAATTTGTCCTAGATACATTGATTTGGAATATGCACAACATTTGAATAAGTTCTTCTGGTACCTTATCCTTCAGATGACATTACTTTCATTTTAAATAAGTTACCTCTCTGTCTACTTGACACCACTCTGGCAGAGAGATGGGGTACCACCCAATGGAGCCCAGGTTTTCCATGCTGCCTCTATGACACTTTCACAGGAGGGAATTCTGATTCATTCTGGGTGGGAGGTGAGAGTAGCTGCTAACACTACCCTGCCTGGGAGAGGAAGGGATACTTCATTACTGCTCCCTATGTTGTCTCCACTGACATTGAGGGGGTGGCCTTCACTAGCTTCCTCTAACACCAGCCCAGCAAGGGAGGGAGCGGTACACTGCTCCTCCCTACTCCTGGACAAAGGGAAATCCAGGCTTCCCACATTATCTACACTGATTATGAAGGGGGCGTGCCCCCATTAACATCTGGCAGGAATGAAATTCCTACTCCTGCCTGGGCTTCCCTGCCACCAGCCCAGCGGGAGGGTTGGGGCACCTCCTTACACCTAGTGAGGGTGGAAATCTCAGCTCTCCTCTAAGCCTTTGCTGCAATTGGTGGACCCACAGATAGAGGGGCTATTCTCTAAACTTTTCTTGCTAGCTTGCCCTTTTCTTCTTGGAGTCCATTCATAAAACATGGTCGTTATTCTTGGGGTATTCTGTCTGCACCTGTTGGCATTTCCAGGTTGCTGTCTGGGGTATGCGAGGCAAAAAGAAAACCAAATATTCACCAAGGTGTCGTTCCTTGTGTACCAAGGTCCCTAAATGTCTACCTTCATTTCTCCACCTTTCAGAGTCTTACATTTATTTTACATATAATGTCCAGGGTTTTTAGGTATACTTAGGGTGAAAAACAGGAAAAGGTGTTTATATCCATTTTATATAATTCTCCCAATTTACCAGTCTACTAAAAATGTCATTCTCATCTTATCAGTACCCTGCCCAAAAATCTCCCCTACCTCCAGATTTATTCAGTATGAAGCCCAAACTCGTTTGGCTACCATGAAGAGACCTCCACAACATGGCCTTTCCCCTGCTCCCACCATGAGCTGTCCAGGCTAGTGAGTCAGTGTTCTTGAAAGTGTATGAAATATCTCCAGTTCTGCACCATTTCTCATGTTCCCTCTTCCTAAAACTCTCTTCAACATCCCTTCTGGCTACCTAAATCCTACCTACCTTTCAGGATCTTATCTATAATAATAAAAGCGTAATATGCTAATTAGACCAGACATCTTTCTGGACATCCTTCCGGACAAAGCTGCAGCGGGCAGGGGCCACAGCCACACCGGGCAAGGGCTGGGCAAGGCCCTTACATGCATCGGGCCTCTAGTTACATTGATAAAGCCCCGTAGCTGAAACAAGTTTGGCTCAGTGGATAGAGCCTCGGTCTGCGGACTGAAGGGTCCCAGGTTCAATTCTGGTCAAGGGCATGTGGGGGTGTGTGCAGGAGGCAGCTCTGGTCGATGTTTCTCTCTCATCGACGTTTCTAGCTCTCTATCCCTCTCCCTTCCTCTCTGTGAAAAATCAATAAAAAAATTTTTTTAAATGTATTTTAAATAAATAAATAAATAATAAAGCTCCGTGATCTCCATCAACTCTGAATTCCTGCAGTACTGACTCCCTGTACCATCCCTCTACATTCTGTCTTATACTGGTATTGTGCTTTCATAAATAAGTTATATCTCCCATTATATTATAAATTCCTTAAAGGCAAAAATTATATTTTATATTTCTGACATATCTGACACTAAGGTAAATTATAATAATAAAACTTTCATAAAAATGTGGTTTAGAAAATATTAAGGCTGAAACTCAATCAAATAGATAACCAATAAAGTATAACTTTCCCTTCCTTCCACTCAGTTAAAACATATTACTCATTGATTAATCCAGTGCCAGATACTGGGATATGCCGATGAATAAGACAGACACAGTCCCTTCCTTTATGAAGTTTATAATTTAAAATTCACATTCTTAAACAATCAAATATTTATATTACGATTACTAGAGAGTACTATTGTTAAAGCCCATGTTATCTATAAACAATATAAATATGGAATAAAAAGCATAATGATAGAAATAAACAGAACAACCAAAACTGTAAAGTTTCTGTAGAAGGTGATATGCTGGACTAACAGCTACAAAGAGGCAAACTAAAAAAAATAAATAAATAAATAAAGAAATAAACAAACTAAAAAAAAAAAACAAAGAGGCAAACTGTTGGTGTTGGCTGTTCTAGCAACCTTAATAAGAGAAGGGTGTCCCAGTGAAAAACATTAAAAACTATCTCATCAGGTATACAGTATTCTGCAAATCAAAGGACCAGGTAACAGCGGTTATCTCCAGAAAGGGGAACTGGGTGGTGGTGATAAGGATTGAAGGGACACATACTGTTCACTGAATACCCTTTTGTACTTTTTTGAATTTTGAACCATGTGCATATATTACTTATGAAAACATTGAAGCTGAAATGCGATTATAAAAAAAAGGGGGGGGGCTTTCTTCAAGAAAAACAAATTCTTAACTAATTATAAACAGAATTCCTGGAGAGTCTTTAAAATTTTTACCCTAGACAATGATTATATCTCAAGGAAAACTTTTTAACTTCCTTTAGCTGCCTGCAAAGACTCTGACACTCCTCCAGATCTTCTGACAAACCATCTGCCTCAGTAAGGGTCGTCCTTACTCTGGGCCCTTAGTCTTCTCATTACATAGCAGGATCCTAGACAATGTCAACTGTTCATTATACTATACTAGAAGCCCAGTGCACGAAATTTGTGCATGGGGAGGAGGGTCCCCTCATCCCAGCCTGCACCCTCTCCAATCCGGGACCACTCGGGAGATGTCTGACTGCCGATTTAGGCCTGATCCTTGGGATCGGACATCCCTCTCACCATCCTGGACAGCTAGCTCCTAACCACTCACCTGCCTGCCGGCCTGATTGCCCCCAACTGCCCCCTCACCCCCCCTGGCCTGGTCACCCCACACAGCCTGCTGCTCGGTTGTGTGGTCATCCCTCACTAACCCTCCTGCCAGCCTGGTCGCCTCCATGGCCTGTTCGGTCGTCCGTTCAGTTGTGATGGCCGCTTAGGCTTTTATATAGATAGATACTCATAAGGGCAGGGGCTGGGTCTACCTTATTTTTCCTTTAATCTCCCATTCTGAACATGGAGAAATATAAATCAATTCTTTCCTTAATCTGTACCTAGTTTACAAATCAAGGTTTTTGTTTTATAGGCATTCAATAAATATAGGTTAAACAAGTGAATAAACCACTCTTATTGATTTTAATCACCATTTATACATGCAAAACCTAATTCTATCCTTTTAAATTCACTATCCCAATTCACTACCATTTGCATTATTTTTCCTGTATGAGGCTTATGCACACACACCTTTCTCCTTATTCTTACTGCATCTTTGTCAAGCTCTTTTATTTCAATTAAACTAGTTCAATTTCTGCTCTCTCCCCTACACTTCTACAACCATTATTTTTAAAGAGCAACAGTTTATCACTGTCTGAAAGAAACAGCAACACTCTTCCCCTCCATCTTCACGGTACTTCCCCAGATCTAAGAAATGACTTCTCATTCGAGTTATATCTCTCAATGCCTCTTCTACTACCCTTCTGCATAATATGCAAAATTCACACTGTTTTATATCTATTTCTTAAATATCCCAATTTCTTCACCCAGCTTTCTCACATTGATCAATAAAGAACTAATAGTTCCTCCCTTTGGCTATTATGATTGGAAGTGTTTCTGGTTACTTTTCTGAATTCTCCCCCTTTCTCCCCTCAAACTTGTCTCCTGTCACTAAATTACTTTTTCAAAATGTATATAAAGAATTACTGTCTCTTCACAAAATACTGTTTTTATTCCATATATATGCCATCTATATCCTACTTATCCTTCAGGTGCGTTCTTAAATATCGTTTTTTCATAAAAACCTTCCCTGTTCTCCCCCTCACCTAAGACTAGCTGCTGTATTTTCCCACAGCACCCTGTAATTCTCCTTTATAACATTTACAGCACTGGCCCTGTCTAATCAGTGAGCTAAATGATAACACTATTTTATTCACAGCTGTATTCCAAGTATCTTGCACAAGGCCTGACAGCAGAAATTTTTTTAATATTTCACAACTAGGTGACTAATTGATGTATTTAAGAACTATTCTATTAAATCTGGAACAGGTCTACTAAGTTGATGAATATTTTCAATAAAAAGATAATTTCTCTTAAAAAATAAAGTCTTAAAAGAGAAACAAATAAAAATGAATTTAGGTCAACATTTAAAGTAATGACATAGCCCTAGCTGGTTTTGCTCAGTGGATAGAGCATCAGCCTGTGGACTAAAGGGTCCCAGGTTCGATTCCAGCCAAGGGCACATGCCCGGATTGCGGGCCCAATCCCTAGTGGAGGGATATGAAAGGGTTGCTGATCAACGATACTCTCTCTCATCATGCTTCTCTCTCTCTCTCCCTTCTTCTCTGAAATCAATAAAGATATATTTTTTAAAATAATGCCATAATTTCAAATTATTTCCACTAGTTATTCAATACTCCCATTGAAAAATAAAAACCCACCCAGCTAGTGTTGCTCAGTGGTTGAGCACTGACCTATGAACCAGGAAGTTACAGTTTGATTCCCAGCCAGGAGCACATGCCTGGATTGGGGGCTTGATCCTCAGTGTGGGGCATGCAAGAGGCAGCCAATCAATGATTCCCTCTCATCATTGATGTTTCTATCTCTCTCTCCCTCTCCCTTCCTCTCTGAAATCAATAAAAATATTTTTTTTAAAAGAAAGAAAAATAATAACCCAAAGAATTACCTTAAAAATTGACATAAAATTCTATTGGAATTTGTAGTATTCTACACAGATTCAGCTATAATACTGAAAAATACTGTTAGTCGTTAGAGTAGCATTCACATGTTACCTACCATATGTGACATTGTGATTTAACTCGGCTCTTCGTAAGGATTCATCAAGAACATCATACATTAATTCACTTGTCCTGTTTAAAAGATATTTTATTTGCAGTAAAATTATAGTATTAAAACCCAATAAACATAGTTTGTCAAACCTCTCTCTCTTTAAAACTAAGGATCTACAGAAAAGTGAAAAAATTTTATGAAGCTATGGGAATTTCACTTTTTAAAAGTCCCATTTGTTCTTTCTCATGAGTTTAACCAAACATGTCAATCAACTCTTTCCTAAACTTGTACCTAGTTTACAAGTCAGGCTTTGCTTGGTTGAACACACTATCTTTTATAGTTTTCTTTATAATTAGATATTTCTACCTGTTCCAAGTTATTACAGTAATACCTCCCAGATCCAGATTATTCCAGATAGCACATTATCTGTATTTAAACCACATAATTTTTTTAAAAATATTCAAACACTAGTCTAACCGAAATCAGTTTGGCTCAGTGGATAGAGTGTCGGCCTGCAGTCTGAAAGGTCCCAGGTTCGATTCTGGTCAAGGGCATGTACCTTGGTTGCAGGCACATCCCCAATAGGGGGTGTGCAAGAGGCAGCTGGTCGATGAATCTCTCTCATCGATGTTTCTAACTATCACTCTCTCTTCCTCTCTGTAAAAAATCAATATATTTTTAAAAAAACAACACTAGTCTATGAGCAACATGCACTTCTTCAGAAAGAAAACTTTAGCTTCCATTTGTGTTAAATATAAAGAGAATTAAGAAATTTGTCCATTCCTAAGCCATTATAAACACTTATTACTGACGCTTTAACTGGGTTGAGGGAGATGCTGTAAGAAAGGCAGTGCTTTACAGAGTCCTAGCACTCATCCTCCTGCCTAGAAAAGTCCCCTACAAGATGCCAATGTGAAAACTATGGCTTCTCAGCTGATATTTTTAAATGTTTTCAAATTCAAAAACTACTAACAGAAATAAAAGCTACTTCAACCTAGCATGCACATAGTAGTCTTACAGAGAAAGTAAAGCAAACAAGCAAAAACATCAAAATAATCTGGGGCTACACAAAAATCATGTATATCTTTATCAAAAATGTCTTCTTTTTCTCCAAATACACAGCGATCAATTTCAATCTGGAGTGTATACTTTGATTCCATCTTGACCGAAGTATAAATAACTAGTGAGAATCCATAACGATATTCTAAAATCCTTCATTTTATTGTGTAAGCATTTCTTCCACAGACAATAACCATATAGTAGATATTACAAATTTTCCCTTCCCCGCCCAATTTAGTAATTCTACACCTGGATCTAGTTTCTTAATTATAAAAGCCAATATCTGGCATAAATCATATTTAACCACATGAAACGTAGAAACATTTGCAGACATGATCAAGCTAAATATAAGTAATCTAAGAAGCAAGATGCTGTAAAACACAAGAAAATACTCAAATAGATATAAAGATCCATCAATAAATGATAAAATGGTAAATTATTTCTTTCAATTAAATACATTAGAATATGTTATGAAATAACATTTTTCTTTGCCACACTGAATTAATCATTTCTAAAGAAATATAAGGTTTATGTTAACATAAAATCTCATTAGAGTTGGGACAACAAAGGAGAAAACATTTTAATGTTCCACATTGTAAGAGTTCCAATCTTTATTCACTTTAATTGTGCCTAGTTTCCATTCAACTAAGCCCTTTGAAGGTAAGCGCTTTTAGTCATCTTTGTATGTATTCTCCAAATTCATCCATGAAAGAAAGGGAAGATGATGAGTTACTACATCTAGTAAATTCACTAAAAGCCTCAAAGTTCCTTCCTGAAAACATCTGATGGCATTAAACCTTTTTTTGACCAGTAAGGCCTGGGTGCATTACTAGGAAATTAGTGGTTTTAAAAGAGAATTCCAGTGAACTCTAACTAGAGCGCCACAACAAGATAGGCTGGGTTACATAAAATAAAATGTATTCAGGACAAACATTTTTCATGTGTCTGCTCCATCAGACCCCTATATTTCAATCAGGATTGAGATTCATAAACACAGAAAAAAATAAACTAGCAATACACCAAGAGTGACACAGCCAAGTTAGTACTTATCAGGAGTGCAAAGGGCAAATGGATCCTGACAAGTTGCTGACAAGGCATTACCGGGAGTGACAGCCTCAAGGATAATCCCTTCGTAAAGATAGGCTAAGAGCCGGGACGGTTTGGCTCAATCGATAGAGCATCGGCTTGGGGACTGAAGGGTCCCGGGTTCGATTCTGGTCAAGGGCATGTACCTTGGTTGCGGGCACATCCCCAGTAGGGGGTGTGCAAGAGGCAGCTGATCGATGACTCTCTCTCTCATCGATGTTTCTAACTGTTTCTCTCTCCCTTCCTCTCTGTAAAAAATCCATAAAATATATTTAAAAAAAAAAGAAGATATTCTAAGAATCAGAATGTAAATGAATCCTACTGCGTGAAAGAGAACCTAATCTCATAAAGTCAGAACACTGAAACTCTTCAGGGACTCAAGCCATGGTCCTTACTCTCAAGGGAAATAAAATCTAGTTGGACTTGCTCTCAAATAGTTCAGAAAAAAAATAAAACGAATGTGTGCCCTACCTGGATTGGCTCAGCAGTTAGAGCATTGGCCCTGGGGTTTGATTCTGGTCAAGGGCATGAACTACAGTTGCAAGCTCAATCCCAAGCCTGGGTCAGGGTGCATGTGAGAGGCAACCAATCAATGTCTCTCTCACATTGATGTTTATCTATCTATCTCCCCCCCTCCTCTGCCCTCCCTTCCACTCTCTTAAAAAAAAAAAAAAAAAAAAAAAAAAAATTTAAATAGTGAGTTTTAAAATAATAATGTGTGCACACATGCACATACAGAAAGAGAGAAAATGCAAACAATGAATAAATCTAGATAAAGGGCATAAAATAGCTCCTTTTACTATTCTTGGAATTTTTCTGTAAGTTTGAAATAAATTTAATAGGAAAGATACCCATAAAATATAAATTACTGGTTAAAAGAGTATTCAGACAAACAAATTAAGGTGAAGCACTCACATCCAATTAGAGCTGAGGGTTAGCAAGCTATAGTCTCCAGGCTCACTTAGCTGGTCATCTAATTTTGTATGGCTGCTGGCTAAGAATGGTTTTTACATTTTTAAATGGGGGTGATGGGTCAAAATAATAACATTTCACAACACATAAAATGTATGAGATTCAAGTTTTAATGTCCATAAAAAGATTTTTTTATTAATTGTGTTCATTTGTTTGTGTACTGTCTATGACTGCTTTTGAGCTATACAACAGCAAAGTTGAATGGTTACAACAGGCAACAGATAGCTCACAAAACCTAAATATTTATTATCTGGTCCTTGATAAAAAAAGTTTGCCAACCTCTGTAGTAGAATGACTAAGAAAGCTTCAGAGGAGACATAAAGCTTCACTGGTACCTTTCACTAAGAATAGGATTTAGATAAGCAGAGAGCCAGGATTATCCCAGCAACCTGAATTATATACTTCTTATTATATAAAGTGGTTTATTTATCTCTAGTAACCAAACCCAAAGCATTAGGAGAATCTGGCTTATCCTGAATTATATACTTCTTATTTATAAAGTGGTTTATTTATCTCTAGTAACCAAACCCAAAGCATTAGGAGAATCTGGCTTATCTTGAAACCTCTAAGTTACTAATAAATTTACTTAAGTTTACCTTTGATCATCTTTTCCTAGAAGTCTCAGTATTCTCAGGAGCTGGATTTGTAACCATGGTGCTGGAACACTGTGGTAATTGAAATCTACTGGGAGCTTTCCTCCAACTACTTGCTTCAAAATTGTTACAAAACTTCCAGTCAAATCTTTATATCCAGATGAATTCTCCTACATCCAAAAAAAATAAAACCAAAAAACCTTCCGTTAATAATAATATCTTAATACATATAAAATAGACTTGGTTGACATGCCTTATGGAATCTAACTTAATACATTTTGACTTAGAAGTTCCATGTTCACATTTAATGAAAGTGTTCTAATCTGTTTAATTTCTTCCATGATGAAACTCCTCTGGCTACCGATCCAAAGCTGAATCATCCCCCAAAAAGCTTCCACCACTCCCTACTTGTTCCCACACACAGTATAATCATATTTCAAAAGTTCTTATAATTACATCTTATATAGAAGCTTTAATAGTCAATACCAGCAATAAGTAAAAAGGTAAAAAGAGCGGAAACTGGTTTGGCTCAGTGGTAGAGCGCCGGTCTGTGGACGGAAAGGTCCCGGGTTCGATTCCAGTCCGGGGCATGTACATTGGTTGCGGGCACATCTCCGGTAGGGGGTGTTCAGGAGGCGGATGGTCGATGTTTCTCTCTCATCGACGTTTCTAGCTCTCTCTCTCTCTTCCTCTCTGTAAAATATCAATAAAATATATATATTTTTTTTAAAAAGGCAAAAAGAACTGGAATACTGAAAAGGGGATGTAATAGCTCTACTTTTGAGGAAAATTAAGACCTGTTTTCAATCTCTAAACTTTGCAAATGTCTTATGTAAATTAGCTAAATGTGTTCTGGGTGAAAGAGCAATGAGCACAGCTAAGATTATTCAAACATTTAAACCCTCCAAAGTCAGTGAATCTGTCTATTAAAAATCTAATCAGCCATATAATACTTAAGTATGTTGAGGTTCTGAATGAGTGTACCTTGATTATAATCTGACTAATCTCTTGGCCTGGGGGAATTAAATACATATTCCTCAAAATGAACACTAGATTCGTCATCATAATTTTATTATATATCAAGGACACATTTTTTTTTAAAGGAAATAATAGCTCTTGCAAAGTTTAGTAAATGTTAGAGGAAAAATAAGATTCAATATCAAATATCTATTTATATCATAATGTTCTAGAACACAATGCATTAAAGAAACCTTCAATTCTATAATTTTAAATTAAATTCAACAGCATATTCCATTTCATTATGAGATACTCAAGAAATCTCTCACAAATACATACTTTCAGATATAAAGTGCTTCAGGCAATTCACTGGGGCTGAATTAGTAGAAATCCATGTAATCAATTAGAAAATGTTTTTACCACACCATTCAACCCTCCTAGCTTTTCTGATACAGTACCATTGTATGGCATCAACACTAGTCTCTACCTTGCGCAACCCCAATAGGCTCTCCTCATTTCTATAAGCTGCTATGCCTCCCATAAAGTTGTATGAAACACAATCAATACTTAAAAAGCCACAAATCTGAACATTTCAAACACTTCCTTATCATTTTTCTATGTTTCTTCAGTAACATGAAAAAAATGTTAATTTAAAAAACAAACAAACAAAAAAAAGAGCCGAAACCAGTTTGGCTCAGTGGATAGAGGTCAGCCTGCGAACTGAAAGGTCCCGGGTTCGATTCCGGTCAAGGGCATGTACCTTGGTTGCGGGCATATCCCCAGTAGGGGTGTGCAAGAGGCAGCTGATCGATGATTCTCTCTCATCAATGTTTCTAACTCTCTATCCCTCTCTCTTCCTCTCTGTAAAAAATCAATAAAATATATTAAAATTAAAAAAAAAAAAAAAAAGACTGCCATGGCAGGTGTGCTCAATGGTTGGATCACTGATGGCTCTCAGATTCAATTCCCAGTTAGGGCACATACCCAGGTCACAGGTTCAATCCCTGGTCAGGGTGCATAAGGGAGGCAACCAATCACATGGATGTTTCTCTCTGTCTCTCCCTCTCTAGAATCAATGAAAAAAGCATATCCTCAAGTGAGAATTTAAAAAAAAACAAAACCTAATTCTATGATGTGCCTACTACTAAAGTTATCAACAACTTGCAAAGATTACTATTTAAAAGTCAATAATAAAAACTTCAAATTAAGCATTTGAATGAAAAATCTGAAGGGATTTTTTTATGCCATAATTATATATTTCTAATGTCAACTACTGAAATTTTCAACTTACCTTAATCATCCTATGGTATATGTGCAAGGAAGCGGCCATGACCCCAACATCTCTGTCACAAAGTGCTTTACGAAACTTAACATGGATATGTTGTACTTGATTAGGAGCAATGAGATGGAATTTGTATAATGCCAGAACAGCTTTTCTTCGTATAATCTCCCTATAGATAAAAAATGAAATCTGAACAAACTATCTGAATTTTCAGGCATTTAATTTGAAAAGATTACAGACGAAATGATTTCAATATATTAGCTATCCCCTTAATCTAAAAAGAGAATTAGCCGAAACCAGTTTTGCTCAGTGGATAGAGCGTCAGCTTGGGGACTGAAGGGACCCAGGTTCGATTCCGGTCAAGGGCGTGTACCATGGTTGTGGGCACATCCCCAGTAGGGGGTGTGCAAGAGGCAGCTGATCGATGACTCTCTCTTATCGATGTTTCTAACTCTGTATCTCTCTCCCTTCCTCTCTGTACAAAATCAATAAAATATATTTATAAATAAATAAATAAATAAATAAATAAATAATAAATAATAAATAAAATAAATAAAAAGAGAATTATACATTCATTAATTTCCTTTCTTAAAATTTATTTTTATTGACTTTAGAGAGAAAGGAAGGAAGGGAGAAGTAGAGGTAATGAGAGAGAGCCCTAACAGGTTTGGCTCAGTGAATAGAGTGTCGGCCTGCGGACTGAAGGGTCCCAGGTTCTATTACAACCAGGGGCATGTACCTTAGTTGCGGACACATCCCCAGTAGGGAGTGCGCAAGAGGCAGCTGATGGATGTTTCTCTCTCATCGATGTTTCTAACTCGCTATCCCTCTCTCTTACTCTCTGTAAAAAAATCAATAATATATATATATACTTTTTAAAGAAAACAACCGAAACCAGTTTGGCTCAGTGGATAGAACATCGGTCTTCGGACTGAAAGGTCCCAGGTTTGATTCCAGTCAAGGGCATGTACCTTGGTTGCAGGCACATCCCAGTAGGGGGTGTGCAAGAGGCAGCTGATCGATGTTTTACTCTCTCATTGATGTTTCTAACTCTCTATCCCTCTCCTTTCCTCTCTGTAAAAAATCAATAAAAATATATATTTTTTTAAAAAGAGAAAGTGAAACATTGATTTGTTTGTCCCACTTCTTTTTACATTCATCGGTTGATTCTTATATGTGCCCTGACTAGGTATCAAACCTGCAAACTTGGCTTATGGGGATAACACTCTAACCAATTGAACTCCCCAGCCAGGGCTATTATTAATTTCTTTATTCTAATCCACCAAACTATAAAAAGTGGTTCTCTCTAGGTTAGATGTTGAGACTTTAACTACCCATATTATTTAATTATCTAATTACTACTATCCCTGCGCACTCATGTGTGCACCAGTATCTCTCTGCTGTTCTCCTGTAGCTCTCCGCCCACTGCCCCGCCCTCCTGGAGTTCTTCCCTCCTCCCTCCCCCTCTCATAGCTTTCTGCCCTGCTCCCTCCTGTAGCTTTTTGCAGCCTGCTTGTAGTTCACTGCCCCACCCTCCTGAAGATCAGTGATATGGTCATTATGTGGTTGGTCATTACGCCTCAAGGTGTAACAGATAATTAGCATATTCCTCTCCTATTATATAGAATGGAATTTTGGGATAGCAAGCACATATTACTTTGAAAACCAGAAAAACAAGAAAGATAAATAAATTCCTTAATTCCCTATTGGGAAAAGAAGCAACGGTAAGTTTAAATCAGTAAGAGGTAACTACAGCTAGTAATATGCAAGTCTTTATTAATATTAAGTCTCTTTAACATTCTAGCTTTTTATCTTTCTTTTTTTATATTATGAGCAAGCATAACCCAAATATTTTAAGGGGGCAAGGGAGGAAAGGATTCACAGTAAATGATGTTACTCCCCTCCTTGCTCAGTTCATATTTCAAAAATCTCTTTACAATGAAAATGAAAATATACACAAGTCTTGCACTTTGTTTGTCACAGATAATGTCTAGCACACAAGAAGTAAAAATAGCGCTCCTACTCTATGTCCATAATGCAGTTTCCAAGAGAGTGCTATATTCCTTATTATTCTCTCTCATGCCATGTCTACGTAGCTCATAGCCACTGACTTTGCTGACGCTGCTTACAGCGGCAGCAACTGGCACAAAAGAAAAATATTTGCTTTTACTTTTATATACTACTATTACTTAAAATCAGAGAATATCAAAATTGAGATTATTCAAAGCACTTCTCTGTTCTATTCAATAATTCCTTTCATAAGATTACTAGCAAATGGTCATCTAGCTTCTACTAAATTCCATTAACAAGCAATTTACTTTGCCAAACTATGCCATGTTGAAAAATTATTTTCATGTAGAAAAAATTAACAACATACTTGTCATTAGAATTAATACTATGGTGACTGTAAACAACATCCCAATGTATTGTTAGTGGGTATTAATCAATATTAGTCTGATAGGTAAATGAGATCAGAAAAAAACAAACTCTGAACAGGATCAGGAATGCCTAAGCCTGGCCCTGAGTGATGGTACTAACACAAGACCTCAAGAGACCTGGATTCAAGCTCTAAGTCTGGCATGCAAAATTCAGCAGGGATTCAAAGTCAAGTCCAAACCGTCTCACATCTTCTTTGTGACATCCACTAGCCTACCTGTAGCTCTGTCCCATATTTTTTAGCTTCACTCCATAACATGGAATAGATATAGCCATAACTGCAGAATCAGTTTCAAGTCTAAACTTTAACTAGTAGAAGACAGAAGTCCAGGATTTGAAATTAGAGTAGATGGGAAACACTAAGAAAAAAGTTAAAAGGGTAAATGGGAAGCGATAAGTAAAAAAAAAATCAATTCTCAGAAGACTCTATATATATAAAAGGCTAATATGCAAAGTGTCCCCTTAGGAGTTTGACCAGAGACCAGGAATTCAGTCACTCACTATTATGCATACTGACCATTAGGTGGGCAGTGCGGGATGAAGAAAGGCCCTGGCCAGCAGCCAGGGAAGGAAGGTCACAGCTGGCAGCCAAAAGGCCCCAATCGGCTCTGATCACCAGCCAGGCCTACAGACCCTACCCATGCATGAATTTCGTGCACCAGGCCTCTAGTTTCATATAAAAAATCAGTATGTATGATTACCACAAGAGTGGTGGCATGAAAGTTGTATATAAAAATATGTTCTGCTATGATCAGATCAATCTATAATTATCTAAGAAAAGCTAATATATTTCCAGTAATTAATTGTCATTACCCAGCATTTGTTCTAACACCGGTCTGACATTGAAAAAAACAATATAACAAGTCTGAAAAACCTATATTCTACCATTCTTAGTGAAACTATCATTTTAGCTATTTCTTTAAAAATAAAAACCAGGCCCTGGCCAGTTTGACTCAGTGGGTAGGGCGTCAGCCTGTAGACTGAAGCATCCCAGGTTTGATTCCAGTCAAGGGCATGGTTGTGGGGGGTGGGCAAAAGGCAGCTGATTGATGATTCTCTCTCATCAATGTTTCTAACTATCCATCCCTCTCCCTTCCTCTTTGTAGAACACCAATAAAATATATATTTTTTTAAATTAAAAAAATAAATAAAAACAGGCTCAGCTAGTAGAACTAAGTGGTTGAGCATCAACCTATGAACCAAGAGGTCATGATTTGATTCTGGTCAGGGCACATGCCCAGGCTGCGGGCTCAATCCCCAGCAGGAGGCGTGCAGGAGGCAGCTGACCAATGATTCTATCTCATTATTGATGTTTCTAACTCTCTCTTTCTCTCCCTTCCACTCTGAAATCAATAAAAATATATTTTAAAAAAACAAACAGCCCTTGACGGTTTGGCGCAGTGGATAGAGTGTTGGCCTGCGGGCTAAAGGTCCAGGGTTTGATTTTGGTCAAGGGCACGTACCTCAGTTGCAGGGTTTCAGCCCTGGTCGGGGGTGTGCGAGAGGCAACCAATCAATGTATTTCTCTCACATCAGTGTTTCTCTCTGTCTCTCCCTTCCACTCTCTCTAAAAATCAATGGAAAAAATATGCTCGGATGAAGATTAAAAAAATTTAAAAAACTGTAAGTCAACAATTTCTAAACATTTTCCATTAGTTGACTTTATCCTCAAACAACTTTGTGAGAATTAAGGAACTTCAAGCAACCCCACACAACCAAGGGAAAACCAGGCCCATGGCTGGCTAGCGGTAGAAGTGGGAGGAAAGCCAAGGACTCCTGACACTGCCTCTCAGTTTAACTTCAGAAAGCTGCCTGGTATTTTTCTAAACCTACATAAAAATAAAGGACAACACTATCAGGGATTTTTGTATTTTATCTGACAAAGGATATCCTCTATCTTGGTAGAACTAAGTAAGTTATAATAAATTTTAGTGCAAATTTTTGTTTTGAAATATATAGTATATACCCCTATCAAAAAAGGATTTACTTACTTAGAATGTTGAAGTTTATCTTCTATTAATGGAAGAACAGCTGGAATCATTTCTTGAGGGAAAATCTGGCTAACGATAGTAAGTGCCATACATACTTCCACCAGGTTAGTGCTCTGCAAGTCCTGACACAATCATTAAGCAAAGAAAACATTCAGTCCAAAGTTCGAAATTAGGTATAACGAGCACAACATTGCAATGGCCCCACTTACTTAATAGTTTTCTCCTAACTTTATAATTAAGATGTATATTTAGCTCATCTTTTATATATATATGCCTGTTTTATTTGCTTGAACGGTCAACAAATAAACACAGCCAAAAAGCAATTGATCCAAAAGGAAATTGTATTTCTGTTCTGACACTGGCCCAAGTAGTCTCCTTTAGAACAGCTTTTAAAACTTTTCTAAACTAATAGCAAGCCAACTTTATAAACTGTCCTTGTTAAACAATGAGTGAAAGTTTAAAAGGAAGTAATTCTCAAATATCCTATATAATAAAACCCTAATATGCAAATCGACCAAACGGCAGAACGACCAGTGGAACAACCAGTTGCCCCAACATGCACTGACCACGGGAGGGGGGAGGGGGGGAGACAGATATTCAATGCAGGAGGTGAGCACAGCAGCTGTAGCGAGAGCCTTTCCCACCTCTGCTGCAGGTAGGCAGTAAGGAGCAAGGGATCTCAGATTGTGAGGGATATCTGACTGCTGGCTTAGGCCCAATCCTTGGGGAAGGACCAGGTGAACTGCAAGAAGCCGCAGGCCAGGTTAAGGAACACCCTCCCCCACAGTGCATGCACCATTTTGTGCACCAGGCCTCTAGCATACAATAAAAGACATGAATTTATACATACTTAAATATGCACAAATTTTTTATTAATCATTCTAACAGAAAATGAAAAACTATTTTTAAAAGCTTGGAAAAACTTAAGCTACTAGTAATCTTAATAGAGTATAAAACTTAAAGTTCAGAAAGTACTACACACACACAGACCCACACATCAAAAGACTGACACAAAGTAAACATGAAAATGCTCAACAAGCCAAAGCCAATTTGGCTCAGTGGTAGATCGTCGGTCTGTGGACTAAAAGGTCCCAGGTTCGATTCCGGTCAAGGGCATGTACACTGGTTGCGGGCACATCCCCGGTAGGGGTGTGCAAGAGGCAGCTGGTCGATGTTTCTCTCTCATCAACATTTCTAGCTCTCTATCTCTCTCCCTTCCTATCTGTAAAAAATCAAATAATTTTTTTTAAATGCTCAAAAATTCAATTATCCTTCATTACCAATTTTGATTAAAAATTTAAACAGGAGCCCTAGCCAGTTTGGCTCAGTGGAAAGAAAGTTCCTGGGTTTAATTCAGGTCAAGGACAAATGCCCAGGTTGTGGGGTCAATCCCCAGTAGGGGGCATGCAGGAGGCAGCCAATCAATTATTCTCTCTCAGCATTTATGTTTCTATCTCTCTCTCCCCTTCCCTCCCTCTCTGAAATCAATAAAAATATTTTCTAAAAAAATATATTTTTTAATTTAATAGGAAAAAATATTGTGTATGGATTAAATTATGTTTTTAGTATCTGTATATTCCAGTTCCAATTATATTCTACTAGAGGCACCAATGGGGTCCCTCGGCCTGGCCTGCAGGGAGCAGGTCAAAACCAACTCTCTGACATCCCCCAAGGGGTCCTGGATTGTGAGCGGATGCAGGCCAGGCTGAGGAACCCCACTGGTGCATGATTGGAGCAGGGGAGGGACTGCCGGAGAGCTCCAGGGCGTGTCCTGCCCATCTTGCCCAGCAGCAAGCTAACCTACCAGTCAGAGCATCTGCCCCCTGGTGGTCAGTACACGTAACAGTGACGGGTTGAACAGTCCATCAAATAGTTGGACACTTAGCATATTAGGTTTTTATTATATAGAAGGAGGATTACTTTTAGAATTTAAAATAATGATTCAGTTTACATCTCCATCCCTTTAGAACAGATCCCAGAAAAAGAGACAACATGTAAATACCCAGAACTAAGAGTCTGGAGATGTGAGTTATAAGTTTACAATAACAGCAGCAGTAGCTACTACTACTTTACATAGTGTTTCATCCAACCTTCACAACTTAGTTAAGTTCTATTATTATCTCCATCTTACAGATACAGACACTGATCTAATAGATCTTTCTAAAATAAATAATAAAAATATTTTTCTATGCCCATTCTGTAAACCTACCTTCTTCCAAAAATATCTAATTCAATATGACTAAGGAAAAATGTCAGATGCCTGCAGAAATAATTACCAACTTCATAATAACCAACATACAATACAGTACCTTTACAACTGTATTCACAAGGAGAAGTAACAGTTCATGACTTTCATGTAGAAATAAAGACACTGCCAAATAACCTACAAAATTTGAAGGGAAAAGTCTCATCACAATGTTTCCTAAGAATTGAAACAAAGCAATCATATATTCCAAAATTAAGTGTCAAAGATACCAGTTGTAGGTAAATATGAAAACAAGTTGTAAAATATGAAGGTCAAAACCTCTAGTAAGGAAGATTTCATGAGTTCTTCATCCTGAATTACTATTTCACAGGATATACCTAAAGTGGAAAAGAGACTATATATCAACTTAAAGTTGTGTAGACACTAGAAATATAAACTATGTTTTGTGCATATCTCTACACAATCTACCAAAACATTTTCTGTTCTGTAGCCAAACACAGAGTTACTCAAAAACTATGAGCTACTAGAGTTAATAGTGTGTTACTGGCTATCTGTGTTGTCCTTGAAAGAATTTTTCCTAATAGCCCTAAAGGTTGATTATAGACAAAAAAAAAAATTTAAAATGCCTCTAGGCCTTGGCCAGGTAGCTCAGTTAGTTAGAGCATCGTCCCCATACTACAAGGTTGTAGCTTTGATACCCATCAGGGCACATACAGTTAATCAATAAATGCATAAATAAGTAAAACACACAAAACGCGCTCGTTCTCTCTCTCTCTCTCTCTCTCTCTCTCTCTCTCAAATCAATAGATAAAAATTTTTAATAAATAAATAGATGCCTCTAATCCTCATAGCTAACATATGTGAAACTAAGAACAGGATATTTAAAATTATTCAAGTCAATTTCAGTTTTATTCTATAAAGAAACGTTTCTGATCATTAAGCTCATAAGGTTAAACTGACTTTTAAAAATTAGCTTTACTAAGGTATATTTAATTTGCACACAAGAAAATTCACCCATTTTTGTTTAATGATTTTTTTTTAAATATATTTTTACTAGAGGTCCAATGCACAAAAGGAAATTCATGCAAGGGGTTGGCCCTCACAGTCCCAGCTTTATCCAGAAGGTTGTCCACGTTGGTTAGCTATCTGGTCTAATTAGCATATTACACTTTTATTATTATAGAGTAGGGGCCCGGTACACAAAATTTGTGCATACGGGAATGGGGTGTCCCTCAGCCCAACCTGCACCCTCTCTACTTTGGGACCCCCTCAAGGGATGTCTAACTGCCCGTTTAGGTCCAATCCCTCTCACAATCCACGACTGCTGGCTCCCAACTGCTTGCCTGCTTGCCTTCCTGACTGCCCCTAACCAATTCTGCCTGCCAGCTTGATCACCCCCTAACCACTCCCCTTCCAGCCTGATTGATGCCTAACTGCTCCCCTGCCAGCCTGTTTGCACCTAACTGTCCTCCCCTGCAGGCCTGGTCCCCCAAAACTGCTCTCCCCTATAGGCCTGGGTCCCCCACAACTGCCCTTCCCCGCAGGCCTGGTCGCCCTCCAATTTCCATCCTCTGCCTTCCTAGTCACCCCTAACTGCCCTCCCCTGCAGGCCTGATGGCCTCCAACTGCCCTCTCTTGCATGTCTGGTCCCTTCCAACTGCCCTCCCCTGCTGACCTGATTGCCCACAACTGCCCTCCTTTGCAGACCTGGTCCCTCCCAATTGTCCTTCTCTGCTGACTATCTTGTGGTGGCCAACTTGTGTCCACATGGGGCAGGATCTTGACTACATGGGGACAGCCATCTTGTATATTGGAGTGACAGTCAATCTGCATATTACTCTTTTATTAGATAGGATAGAGGCCTGGTGCACAGGTGGGGGCCAGCTGCTTTGCCCTGAAGGGTGTCCCAGGTCAGGGTTGGGGTTCCCTTGGGGCATAGAGCGGTCTGGGCAAGGGGCCTGTGGTGATTTGTAGGCTCACCACGCCCCCCAGTGACCCAAGCAGAGGCCTGGGATTTACTTATCTTCTATAATTGAAACTTTGTAGCCTTGAGTGGAGCCAAACCTCATACTTGCTCCATGGCTGCCGCCAATTTTGTTGGGATTTATGTATCTTCTATAATTGAAACTTTGCAGCCTTGAGTAGAGGCCTGGGCCTACCAGGGTGTGTGGAAAGCTTGGCTTCCTCCATTGCAGGGGCAACTCAAGCCTTCTGCTCTCTCCAGCTCCACGGCTGCGCCATTTTTGTTGGGATTTATTTATCTTCTATAATTGAAACTTTGTAGCCTTAAGTGGAGGCCTAAGTCCAGGGTGTGTAAAAAGCTTGTCTTCCTCCATTGCCTGGGAAACCCAAGCTTCCTGCTTTGCAGTGGCCACACCCATCTTGGTTGGGGTTAATTTGCATACTCACTCCTGATTGGCTGGTGGGTGTGGTGGAGTAATGATTAATTTGCATATTACTCTTTTATCAGATAGGATTGACTTCAGAGAGAGGAAGGGAGAAGGGAGAGGGAGAAAGAGATAGAAACATCAATGATGAGAGAGAATCATTGATCAGCTGCCTCCTGCACATCAACTGCTGGGGATCAAGTCTACAACCCGGACATGTGACCTGACTGGGAACTGAACCATAACCTCCCGGTTCAACCACTGAGCCAGGCCTACTTTAATGAGTTTTGGCAAATACATACATACATACATACATATATATATATGCGTGTGTGTGTGTGTGTGTGTATATTTGTCATATACATGTGTGTGTGTGTGTGTGTGTGTGTGTGTGTATATAGTCATCCAACCACCATTGCAACAACAGGCATTTTTTAATCTCTATAACTCCAAAATGCTATGAATCAGGAAAACTGACTTTATTTATTGGCTCTGAGTTTTAAAGTACTATTACATGTATCAAGTTTTGGAAACAAGGCAATGTTCTAAAAACATACTATACTAGAGGCCCAGTGCATGAATTCATGCACAAATGGTGGGTCCCTTGAACTAGCAGGCAATTGGGGCTGATTGGGACAACTCACCCAGTCCTGATCAAGACCAATCAGGGACAATCAGGAGGTTCTGATTGGGGTGATCAGAGCTGGCCGGCTGGGGGGAGGGGCCACAGGAGGACTGTGGGAACGCACTGACCATCAGGGGATAGCTCCTGTGTTAAGCTTCTGTCCCCTGGTGATCAGTGCATATCATATCAACAGGTCGACCGGTTATTTGGTCATAATGGTTGCTTAGGCTTTCATATAAATGATACCTGCCATCATTCATTTTATATAGTAATTGGAACTTTAAGGACAACATTAAGTCTTGAACACATACATACCTACTCTTTTTTCTAAAAGGTTTCCTTGTTGTGCCAACTTGATTGCATGTATGTAGCCAAAGGAAGCATCATATCCAAGCATTTCACAATATATAAGTCTCACCATACATTCCTTCATCATTTTCTGAAATGAAAAATATCCGGTAACTGTGTAAATAAATAGAATATTTTATTTTTTTATTATGTTGTAATCAATTAACAAGGAAATCCTTTAATCCTGGCATTGAAAAGAGTGTGTGAGTGTGAGTGTGTGTGTGTGTAGGTGTGTGTGTGTGATATAAATTAATCACCTTAAGTAAGACTTTATAAATAAAAGTTGCTCCCTAACTTAACTACCAACAGTATTCATTTTAGTAAAATAATTTCAATATTTTGTTAGTCGCAATACTATAAAATAAATCAACTGTAGCTATTTATAATTCTAGATGACCTTCATGTAAAACTTGGGCATAATGTGAGATATATGATCGATCCTCAGACAAAATATTGCCCATAGTAATGTGAGTTGGCTTCTAGAATGCCAATTATTTTAATATATTTTATCAACTGAACGTGTTCATAAAATTCCCACAAGTTGGTAATAATTTCTGTAACAAAATATTTTTCACATTTAAAAACAAAATTGAACCCTAGCCAGTTTGGCTCAGTGGAAAAGGTTGGCCTGTGGACCGAAGGGTCCTGAGTTCAATTCCAGTCAAAGGCACAATTGCAGGCTCCTCCTCCAAGCAGGCCTTGGTCAGGGCTTATGCAGGAGGCAACCAATCAATATATTTCTCTCACATCAATATTTCTGTTTTTCCCTCTCCCTTCCACTCTCTCTAAAAAAAGAAAAAGAAAAATATCCTTGGGTGAGAATTAAAATAAATAAATGATTGCATTTTCTCTGGTGAGAATCACCAAAAAAAAGTTGATGAAATTAATGCTGTTTGAAAAGTCTAACTATGTGGAACCAAGTTTAAAAACAACTGGATTGTGATTTAGCTGCTAGGCAATATACTTAGTTTTATAGCAAGAAAACCATTTTCTAATCTTGTCAGTCAGTCAACCTATACTATAAGATATATAAACCTACAATCCAAGATATATAACAGTAAAATGAGATCTACAATATGTCACTTTGGATCTGAAAATATTATTTGAAATGATATATACTCACCTTTTCCCAGAGCACAACATTAAAACAGCAAGATCAGCACTGGGGTCCCAGGAGTATTGCCACATTTACAGTATATAATTACTAGATGCCAAGTACATGAAAATTCATGCCCTGGAGGAGGGAGTCTCTCAGTCCCGCCTGCCCCCTCTCACAGTCTGGGAGCCCTCCAGGGCAGGATGCGACCTGGCAATTAGGGGAAGGCAACGCCCCCATCACACCTCTGCTGCTGCCACTGCCGGCAGTGTAAGCATTGGCTGGCCTGGTTACCTGAACCTCAGGTGGTCATGGGAGGCTGGGCAGCCACCATCCAAGGCTTGCCTGCACCTTGGGTATTGGCTGGGCAGCTGACATCTGAGGCTTACCTGCACCTCAGGCTGGCTCTGGGTGCCTAAGGGGACTGGGGGACTCCTAAGACAGCCGCACAAAGCGGCCGGACCCACCTGAGGGCGGGTTCAGCGGTGCCACATGCTTGCCGCCCCAGCGAAGCTGAAGGGACTGGGCACCGCCATCTTGTGGCTGTGGGCACTGCCATATTTGAGGGCATTGCAGTCAATTAGCATATTCCATCTTTATTGACTGTGGGTGCCACCATCTTTGCAAGGGTGTGCTGGTCAATTAGCATATTCACTCTTTATCAGATAGTATCATCACCTTGGCACTAAATTGACATTAGTCAACCAAGTCTTGCTCCATGCAGTCAGTCAATAATAAAAGGCTAAACTTAATATTTGACTTGCTACCATCCATAACTAATAGTGACAAATTAGATTTTAGCAAGTGATCAATGAGTCCACAGTGGACCAGATTTCAAATTCCAAATGTGCTGGCACTGACTCTGCAAACTTACCAGTGTTGTTGTAGGAGCAGAAACCGCTGCTTTCAGATTACTTAGTTCCTGGTGGATTAGTTTCTCTTCCTCCTGAAAAAATAAGAATATTTAAATGCGTGAACAACTGTCTTTTTAAATTACACAGTATTTTAAAAACTTTTTGTTTATTTTTAATACGTTTTTACTGATTTTAGAGAAAGGGATAGAGATAAAAACATCGATCAGCTGCCTCCTACAGGCCCCTTACTGGGATCGAGCCTGAAACCCGGGCATGTGCCTGCCAGAAACCAACCATTGTCTCACTAATAGATGTAAAAGGCTGGTCAACCTTGAAGCTCTGAAAGGTCAGAGCCAACAACTCCCTATCTAATTGAGACAATGGTTACTGAGGCAACTTCCCCATCTTGTAATCATGTAAATCCTTACTAATATGATAATCCACTTATTACCTGCCTAAGAGCTATGGGGGTATCCCAAACCTGCTTAAGGGTAATGGGTGTAGCCCATTTGGCTCAATGGATAGAGGATCAGCCTTCAGACTGAAGGGTCCCAGGATCAATTCCGGTCAAGGGCATGTACCTTGGTTGCAGGCACATCCCCAGTAGGTGGTGTGCAAGAGGCAGCTGATCGATGATTCTCTCTCATCGATTTTTCTAACTCTCTATCCCTGTCTCTTCCTCTCTGTAAAAAATCAATTATATATATATATATATATATATATATATATATATATATATATATATAATTTTTTTTTTAAGGGTAATGGGTGTATCCCATTGTCTCAATAAAAGGGATAGCAAGGCCAGAGCCCAGTGGCAATCCTCCACTCAAGGTGGGCTCCGCCTGGTCCCCATATCACCAGTTCTTTTAGTCTCTCTTTAATTTGCGTGTGGCCCTTCTCCAGAACCCAAACCCTGAACAGGAACCCTGAGCCACGTGGGATGAGAAAGAGGTCTCCATTTGTGCCCTGACCGGGAAAAGAATTGGCATCCTCTTGGTGCATGGGTCAAATCTCAACCACTCAACCACTGCGCAACATTGGCCGAGCTGTAACAGTATTTTTAAAGGGAAAATATAATTTATAATGCTTTCAATAAAAATAAACATCTTAAAGGAGCGTTGTAAGAATTTGCTTAAAGGCTTTTATCCAGTCCTCAGGCTCATTATTGGAAAGAAATATTTCCAAGTCTAACCCATCTCTCTCTTTTCTTCACTCAGTTTCTGATCCCTTAAAGATAGTTTAGTAGAAAAAAAAATTGTTTTCTTAACAGTGAAGAAAAAGAAAAAATTCTTCATGTACTGGCCAACAAAAAAGTTCTCACTCTTTCCCTTAAAATTAAAAGGCCTTCATGGAATAGAGAAACAGGGGAAGGCAGAAACAAAATGAGTCTGTTTCCCTTACTATTTTCTTCTCTCTCTTTCCCTTATTTCTCATATCCTTTCCCTCACATCTCATCTCTAACACACAATAAATATATCAATGTGTTCACTTCTATTCTCTGCATTGTATTTTACCTTCTTTTTTTAAATATATTTTATTGATTTTTTTTTTTTTTTTTTTTTTACAGAGAGGAAGGGAGAGGGATAGAGAGTTAGAAACATCGATGAGAGAGAAATATCAATCAGCTGCCTCCTGCACACCCCCCACTGGGGAGGTGTCTGCAACCAAAGCACATGCCCTTGACCAGAATCGAACCCAGGACCTTTCAATCCGCAGGCAGACGCCTTACTCGCTGAGCCAAACCGATTTTGGCTGTATTTTACCTTCTTAAAGGCACCTGAAAACTGGCCCACTTTTGGCTAATATAATGCTATCTTCAAATTACACATTGAATTAGCAGATATCCATTTGGTGGCTAACCAAGAACTACTGGTAAGCACTACCTTATATAGATACTTTACATATACTTGTAGTTTCAAACTTCAGTTTGGGACCAAATTTTTTTATTTCATTCATTCAGAATCTTATAAAAATTAGCAAAGGACAAAAACATTAAGACAACATTAAGTCCACAAATAATGAACTTTTAATGTGAAGCAGACCCTTCCCAGTTCAGCAGCATCTTATTTCAGTTTTAAAAGAACTTTTTAAACACGCAGAGCACTCTGAAGAAAAGCCTTCCCTCTTTGCCTTTTTCTCTCTCCTGCACTTATATCATTGTATACCCTTACACTGGTCCAAGCCTAAATGAATGGCTCATTCCTTGGGAAGAGAAAGTGTGTCCTCCACATAACCTCTTTCATAAATATATCCGAACAAATTATGACACAGTAACATATTTTGTTAAGATATAAGCTCAGCCGAAACCGGTTTGGCTCAGTGGTAGAGCGTCCGTCTGCGGACTGAGAGGTCCCGGGTTCGATTCCCGTCAAGGGCCTGTACCTTGGTTGCGGGCACATCCTCTGTAGGGGGGTGTGCAAGAGGCAACTGAACGATGTTTCTCTCTCATGGACGTTTCTAGCTCTCTATCTCTCTCCCTTCCTCTCTGTAAAAAATCAATAAAATATATATATTTTTTAAAAAGATATAAGCTCAGTAAGTTACTTTTCACACAGTAACAATGATTTTGTCAAGATATAAGCTCCTTGAAGCTTTGGATCAGTATCTCACACAACCTGTGCAACTACCCAAAGTTGCGGGAACTTAATCGCCTGTAAAATAACTGCTCATCTTCCAAGCCCATCTGAGGCAGCGACTCGCGCAGCAATGTGTACAATTTGGACGAATTATGCTTTTTTCCTTTGCCCTACGCATCGGCCTAACTAAACACCTCAAGCTCCCCACAGATATTCGACAACAGGGTCTGCTCCAGTGGGTGACATCTGGGGCAGAGAGGGAACTGGGGAGGGAAGACACTCTGCAGGCGGTGAGGGCTGACGCTTGTTCTGCGCTTGTTACAGATTTCCACTCGCTTGCCGTCCCACCCAAACAGCCTATGGAACACGCGTTGGGATTTTCCCACCTCCACGTTCAGGAAACACGGGCAGGTTCAAGAATTTATAGAGATCCGCCCGCCGATCAAGAGTCGGTGTCAGCCAGGGCCCATGGAAACCGGCCTCCCAGGCCCCAGTCCCGGCAGGAACGTGCCGCGTCCGGACGGACGGACGGACGGACGGACGGAGGGACGGACCGACACCCGCCGCCCGAGCCCCGCGGAGGGCCAGCCCCGGGCTCGCGGCGGGCGGACACCGGCCTCCCCGCGCGGGGCCTCCCGGCGCCCCGACCTCCGGCCCGGCCCGCGCTTACGTGCTTGGAGGTGAGCGCGGTGATGCCGCGGATGAGGCCGCCCAGCCGCGAGGAGAAGGGCGCCCTGGCGGCCGCCGGCCCGCCCGCCCCCGGCGTCTGCAGGAACAGCCCGGGCAGCGCCGTCAGCGTCTTCTCCACGATATCGCTCATCGCCGCCGCCGCCGCCCGCGCCCCGGCCGCCGCCCGGCTTCATGCCCGGCCCGACCCGCCGCCCGCCCGGCCTCCGTAGGCACTTCCTGTTTGTTTGAAGAAGAAATCTTTATTGGTGCTCCGCGCGGACAAGCGCGGTGCAGTTCCCGGCAGCGGCCGCGTGGGGGCGCGAGAGGCCGCGGGGAGAGGCGCTCGCACCGCCTGCGCGCGAGGTTTGACTCCCGGCCAGGAAGGACTGGGCGGGTTTCAGCCGCAGCGCCGGGGTCCCGCGCCTGGTGGGCCTCCCCGGTGGCCGCTCGGACCCGGCCCTCCTACACCTCGTCCCCCTCGGCTTCCCTCTCCGGTTCGCAGCCTCCCGCCGCCGAGACCGCCTCAAGGGGCGCCACCGCTCACTCCCTGCACCGCACCTCGAGGGGCCGGGCCATGCGGGTCCCGGCGGTGCTGAGTGACAGTCGGCAGGCTGTCCATCCCTCTCTCCTCCGGTTTTAGGAAACCAGGACGAGCGAGGGATCAGAGGCCGGCCCCGCCCCGACAACTCCTGCTGGCGGGTTGCAAGGTCATGGTCAGCCTCCTGGAGTGGACCTGGCCCCGCAGGCAAGCCGGGATGGGTGTCCCAGCTCTTTCCCAGCGATCGCAGCCGCCACTGCTGTGCATGAATATGTATCTCCCCACAGGGAGGTTCTTAAGTGCGATCTGGTGACTTCTGAGGGTCCCTAAGACCCTTCCTGGGGATCCATGAAGTTACAACTGTATTCATCTTACTTAAACGTTATTTGTTGTTTTTACTCTCATCCTCTCCCGAGTGTCCAGAGAAGTTTTCAAGAAAATAGCTAACATACAATCACTCTACTGGCAAGTGAAATGTGTCCTTGAGTCGTGTTTTGTAGAATTTTCTAAGGTTAACATCACATAGGTATATCCTATATGAATAAAAGCCTAATATGCAAAATATCCGACCATTCCTTCGACCATTGGACCAGTTGCTATGAAGGGCACTGACCACCAAGGGGCAGACGCTCTAACCAGTAGATTAGCTTGCTGCTGGGGTCCAGCCAATCGGGACTGAGCAAGTCCTCCGACAAGCCTTGGAACCCTCCAGTGGTTCCTCCCTGGCCCTCTCTCAATCCAAGACCCCTCAGGGGATATTGGAGAGCCAGTTCGGCCAATCCATACAGGCCAGGCCACCGGACCCTATCGGTGCACAGGGCCTCTAGTATCTATGTAATGTTAGTTTTCAGAAAATAACTCAGTTTGTCCTCAGTACTTCTAATGTGATCTTATGCACTATCTTCACTTATTCCTAATCTCTGTAACCTCTTTAGACCTCCAACAAATGTTTTTTTGAAATCCCTAAATTGTCCTAGTACCTAAACAGAAACACAAGAAAAAGGTCTGTTTTATTGACTTGTTTTAGAAGAATATTTTTAAATTTATTGAAAAGTTTTCTAAATATTTAAATTTTACCTGAAATTGTTCTCCTTTCAGACATTAATGTCTTATTCTAAAATAAAATTTTGTTTGTTTTGTTTTTAGGATTTCATTGGCTTACAAAAGGGAGATTAGAAGACTTGCTTTCTCAACCCTCCCCCATCTAAAGATGCTGAAAAGATTACCTTGACATCAGTTCCAGAGAATTCCCTCATTGGGTAAAGGATAGAATCTGAGGGATTCTGGAATCTACCCAACTGCAAATAAGTAAGGAGAGCATAACAAAAGCTTCTTTCTTTTCCTTGGTCTTAGGAATGCTCACAATTTATCTTGTCTTATTCAATAAGATAGTTTCAAATACTACCGTGTTTCCCTGAAAATAAGACATCCTCCGAAAATAAGACCTACTTACAGGTTTCCTTCTGAGTGAAATATAAGGCATCCCCCTGAAAATAAGGCCCCCCTAGGCTAAACATGAGAGATTTGGTCCACTGAAAGAAATGGAGTCACAAGAAATTCACCAGGAAATTCAGGAATTGGGTTGTTCTGATGATGTTCCAGAAGATGATGACATGATTATCATTGAATAAATGAGTAAATTCTTGATACTGTAGGATTCACAGTTTGTCTGGTTTGTGTTGACAACTACCGTACTACCGTACCGTGTACAGGTAATATATTTCCTTTATTTTCATTTAACAATAAATGTGTACCGTATTCTTCTTCGTGGAAAAATAAGACATCCCCTGAAAATAAGACTTAGCACATCTTTGGGAGCAAAAATTAATGTAAGACACTGGCTTATTTTTGGGGAAACAGGGTATTATGGTTCCAGTTAAGTTGAGGCATGATTTTGAGACCAATAATTCAGTTTAAAGGAAAGGGAATTTAAGATTTTAAACATGACAAGATCTTTAAATGCCAAAACTTTTGTGTTTCCACTTTTCAAACTAGAAAGGGAAAAAAACCCGGAAGCTTCTCTCAGGCTAAAAGATTGTGTTGCACCGGCTAGAGAAGAACACACAGCAACTGAGACACTAATAAAGCCTGTACATTGCTCTGACAGGTTTGGCTCAGTGGATAGAGTGTCAGCCTGTGGACTCAAGGATCCCAGGTTTGATTCCGGTCAAGGGCATGTACCTTGGTTGTGGGCACATCCCCAGTGGGCGATGTGCAGGGGGCAGCTGATTGATGTTTCTCTCTCATCAATGTTTCTCACTCTCTATCCCTTTCCCTTCCTCTCTGTAAAAAAATCAATTAAAAAAATTTTTTTAAAAGTCTGTACATTATTCAATGATTGTTTGGGACATGAAAAGTCAAAGAAATTGTGGCAGTACTATTCTCCAAAGATGCAGTAATGCACCAAATTAGGAAATTTGTTTCAAACACAAAGACTGGATTAATATCTCATCTGCAGAATTATACTGCCTTTCAGACAGACAACAATTATATAATTATAGATGTAGCTAGACTTGTTGCTTTGTTTGTATCTATCAAATACAAGCAACAACAAATCCCTGAAGAAGAGCTTTTATATAAATGTTTGGCACTAGACACAGGTGCAGAAATAAGTGTTGAACAATTTTTTAAAAATATCATAGTTTATCTTGAAAGAACTATGGTATTTGCACTAATGGTATTTAAAAACCACTGGCAGCTTGCCGAAACTGGTTTGACTCAGTGGATAGAGCATCGGTCTGCGGACTGCAAGGTCCCGGGTTCGATTCCAGTCAAGGGCATGTACATTGGTTGAGGGCACATCCCCAGTGTGGGTTGTGCAGGAGGCAACTGGTTGATGTTTCTCTCATCATCAATGTTTCTAGCATACTATCTCTCTCCCTTTCTCTCTGTAAAAAAATCAATAAAATATATTTTTAAAAAACTGGCAGCTTAACACAAATCAAGGCAGAAGCTCTGGACTGTACTCTTTACCACCACACACTCACTTTTTTTTTTTTTTTTAATCCAATTTTGCCCTGGCCAGTGTTCTCAGTCCTTAGAGCATCAGCCACCAGAAGTTGGAAGAGGCAAGGAATGAACTTCCCTCTAGAACCTCCAGAGGGAGCCCTTCCCTACCTATCCCTTGGTTTCTGCGCAGTGAAACTGACATGGGACCTATGGCCTCCTAAACTGTAAGAGAACATTTCTTGTGTTCTTATTTTTTGTGTTTATGTTTTATACCAGAGGCCCCATGCACAAAATTCATGCACAGGAGGGGGGGGGGGGGGTGTCCCTCAGCCCAACCTGTACCCTCTCCAATCTGGGATCCCTTTAGGATCTAAACAGGCAGTCAGACATCCCTTTCACAATCTAGAACTGCTGGCTCCCAACTACTTGCCTGCCTGCCTTCCTGATTGCCCCTAATCGCTTCTGCCTGCCAGCCTGATCACCCCCTAACTGCTCCTCTGTCAGCCTGATCTTCCCCAACTGCTCCCCTGCCAGCCTGATCGTCCCCAACTGCCCTCCCCTGATACCCTGGTCATCCCAAATGCCCTCCCTTGTATATTCTCTCTTTATTAGATAGGGGTTTTTCTTTAACATATTGGACAATCCTAACTGGTTTGGCTCAGTGGATAGAGCATTGGTCTGCAGACTCAAGGGTCCCAGGTTTGATTCTGGACAAGGGCATGTACCTTGGTTGGGGGCACATACCCAGTGGGGAGTGTGCAGAAAGCAGCTAATCAATGTTTCTCTTTCATAGATGTTTTTAGCTCTCTATCCCTTTCCCTTCCTCTCTGTAAAAAAAAACTAATAAAAATATATATTTTTAAAAAGGAACATTTAAAATTCCTCCATATCTAGAAGTGCCCGGCTAGCTCAGTCGGTAGAGCATGAGACTCTTAAAATTCCTCCATATCTGGCTGGCTGGTATGACCCCAGGCTGCCACCACTGAAAGGGATTGGGCCCGGCCAGGCTGAAACCCCACCCCAGGCTGCCATCTCAGCCTGGCCTGGGATAGTGAGGCCGGGGGAGCGTGCCCCAACCAGGCTGAGACCCCAGCCCAGGCTGCCTCTGAGGCCAGGGGATCGTGCAGCTTGGGTGCGAGGCCCTGCTGGTCTGAGACCTCAGCCCAAGCTGTCACCTCGGCCAAGGGATAGCACGGTGCTAGGGCACAGCCCCCGCCCAGGCTGCTGCCGCTGGCCTGAAGATTGCCCCCCAGGGATGCATGGCTCTGCAGGCCTGAGACCTCAGCTCAGGCTGCCGCCTCTGGTCAGGTGATCGTACATTGTGGGTGCCAGCCAGCAGGTCTGAGACCCCAGCCCAGGCTGCTAGGATTGGCTGGGATTGTGCCAGGGACACCCCGAGTTGCCACCACTGGGTAGGGATCGCTGCTTGAGGGGCAGGCACCTCCCAGCTAGACACTGCCCCCGTTGGGCAGACTTAGGGACTCCGGCAGGGCTAAGAGGACTGGATGCCACCATCTTGTGGCTATGGGCACTGCCGCTTATGTGGAGTGATGGTTAATTTGCATATTACTCTTTTATTAGATAGGACTAGAGGCCCGGTGCACGAAATTTGTGCAGGGTGGGGGTGTCCCTCAACCCAGCCTGCACCCTCTCCAATCTGGACC